CAATGATGCCCCAAGGTTGAAGCCAGTAATGACTAGTCCTCTATCTAGCCACGTATCCCTTTGACCTGGTCCCGCCATCGCAGGATTTAGGTTTTTGGTGAGATTGTCTCCTCTTGGTCCAAGCGGTTAAGCCAAGACCCCCCACATCCTCTACCCGCGAGACATGACCACAGTAAGAGGGTGTAGTGAGCATAGTAAAAGATATATCAAAGAGCGAGCTTTCTTAAAATACTTTCTCGAAAACGTTGCTAGCTGTTAGACTATTAGGGTTTCTAGATTTGGTATAAGGCTCTTAAACGATTAGTTTTAATAAAACAAGAAAGTTTAAACTGAACAATATATTGAAGACACTTCGAACATAAGTAATGACGTTCATTTGGTATCATTTAAAAAAATTAACTACTAAAATTAAAATATAATCATTCTAGATAAAAAATATAGAATTGTAAATAAAAAATAAACATTTGATAAAAAACTGTAATGGGTAAATTATTTACAAATAATTAAGTTACTCGCTCCTTACAAATTCCTTCGGTACATTTCAAACATATTGGAGTCTTGCACATTTTGCAAATATGAGTTGTTTTTCACTTATTTTTGGTTAAGCACCTTCTGCGGGTTGTTCTTTTAACAATTTGGCTTTCAACGGTTTCAGAATATGGAGTTTCGATGTGAAGTACACGCTGCGGAGAAGACCTAATATCACGAGGATTCGTTTCTGGTATCAACAAAATCATTCATAATTGTTTATCAAAATCATAACAATCAATAATCGTTTTTATTATCTCGATGACTAATGCAAAATAAAGGCTTACATAAATACTATGACTATAAGTCTATAGAAAATTGCTATGGGCCAACGACTAGTACTACTTGGAACAATATCTGAATTGGCGTTTTGATGTCTTCGTCCTCTATTTCTATTGCTGTTTCAATGTCACGATCCGAGAGTACATTGTCATCATCTGAATCTAAATTACTTTTATCAGAATCAATCTCTTCTGCCCATTTTTCCAACGTTTCTTCATAATCATTATCCCCAAATATAACCCTCTTTAAGGGTCCGATATTACTTGCATCATGTATTTATTTACACAAGAAAAAAGTGGAACTACCTACCGGTAAAAAATACCGGACATCTGTAGTTAAGGGTTACCGCCGAAACGAAGTAAGGTAAAAATCTAAAGTAATTGGGCTATTTTACGTTACGCTAAATTGTAACCGGCTGCGGATTATTTTCAGAGAGGTGAACGCTCCGGCACAGCTCCGGCGCACCACGACTATTGTCGGCGAGTCGTTGCCTTTAGAAATGTATTACTCACTTGAGAAATTAGATTGCTAGTGCAACAGAATGAAATACCATCGCGGCAAAATCAATGCTTTACGAGGAGGCAGTGATAAGTAACTACTGATAAATAATCAATGGAAATATATAAATAAAAGCATATCTCAAGTCAATGTAATATGGATGTATTTGCGACAATATTTTCAAGATGTAAAATCTGGTATTGGCGTATTGGCAGTAAAGTCAAGAACTCAAGAAGTTGTAACGCATTATCAAGAAATAAGACATTTCGTCAGAATAGCTTTATTCAGTAACGATATACCAGTTTCGTCTCAAAAGTATGGCTCAGCCCTATAACTTTTTCATTTTTTCAGATAAAAAAACGAGATTTGGTATATTACTATATAACATAAATTAGGATTGATTGACGTATTCAATTATTTTTGGTCACTTCCTGTTTCACCGGAAATGACTACAACTTTTGATTTTTAAATAGCACCCTTGGTATTTTTTTTACTTTATTCGATAGAAATTGACACTCTGAATAGAATGACATGTGATATGTCAACTTTTGACATTCTCTGCTGTGTTAAAAACACTAATTTTTAGTCAAGAAGCCTTGGTAAAATAGATTTGATCATCTAATGTTTTTCGTGTCTTGTCCTGGCCAGTTAAATCATGCCCAAATTGTATTTTTAATCGTATCTCGTTTTTTTCAAATGGAACGAGGGTGGCTCGTTAGCATATTCGGATAAAGCATTTGTTTACGAATAATTTGGTACCACCCACTTGATATTTTGAGTCAAATTGTCGTTATGAACCACTTTAAAATAAACCATATGCGAAAATGTCAAAAGTTGACATATGATATGTAATTCTATTCATAGTGTTATTTTCTATCGAATAAAGTAAAAAAATACCGAGGGTGCCATTTAAAAATCAAAAGTTATAGTCATTTCCGGTCAAACAAGTGACCAAAAAAAATTGAATACGTCAATCAATCCTGATTTATGTCATATATTAACATACCAAATATCGATTTTTTTTATCTGAAAAAATAAAAAAGTAATAATATTGGTGAGTCACTTTTGAGACGCACCTGGTATAATAAAGCATAAAATTAGTATATAATTCCTCTTTTACAAATAGTATTAATGTTATCAATTTACTGCTCCCTTGAGATATTATTTTGTTAATGTAATGGATAATCTATAAAGCAATGCTTTACGAGGATATAGTGATAAGTAACTAAAGTCAATGTACTTCGTTTATTGACAATAAAGACAGTATTTTCTGCATATATTTTCGTTATTTCAAAACCTTAATTGTGAATTTTTCTGTATATCAACGTTATCTGCATTTGACGTATTCAATTCTTTTCGGTCACTTGTTTTTTACCGGAAATTACTACAACTTTCGATTTTTAAACGGCACCCTCGGTATTTTTTTTTACTTTTTGCCAAAGAGTGGCATTAGTAGTAAAATATGGAATATTAGACAGTCCTTATCTTAGCAGCGGAAAATCTGCAGCATAAATATTTCAATTTCCAAACAAAATAGCAATTGGGTGCAGTATTGCTGAAATAAATGTGTCAGCAAATTTTAGTATAATATTCATTCATCTTCTTTTAGCAAACTAGGTACTCCTAGGTATGTTAAACGCAGATGGCGGTACGCTCATATCAAAAAATGACGAAGAAGACAATCTGCAACATTTAATGTACAGGGTGGGTCAAATTCGACGCTTTAAAATGGAAACACCCTTTTCTATAGGAGATAGACGAAAACTAATATCGGTGTCTGGAGCTCAATTTTTGTCAAAAACATGATGGTGAAAACCGCATGTCGATATCTGTTACCGTTTCGGAGTTACGGGGTGTTTTTCAAACATGTGCATTTTTAACAAATCGCTGTAACTTTTTTACTATGGAAAATTTTGTATTTCTATGAAAACATTTTCAAAGCATCTTTTTACGTAGAATTTAATGGTTTAAGTATAATTTTTTTTTAAATTAATAATTTAAGAATTATCAACAGAAAATTTGATTTTTTATATTGGACACCCTGTATATTTTTAATTAACTGAAAAGAATTTAACATTACCTTTCCAAAAATATAGCACACTTGATATTTTGTTATCCCCTTTGCAATACAGAGTTTTTAAAAGTTCGCCACTTTAAACTAGTAGGCTTTGGACCACTTATTGATGATATGCAAGTGATGATCATGTATATCATGTATGATATACATATTTTTCCAGCAAGACGACGCACCGCCTCTGAACGCTGAAGTTATTAGCAAATTTTTGCAGCCAATTTCAAGAATAATTGAATAGCTAACCAAGATCCCAGCCGTTGGTCGTCGAGGCCGCCTGACTTAGTGTCCATGGATCTAATCCTATGGATATATTTGCGGAAGAATAAAAGTTCCTTATTCTTCCGTATAATCTAGACAAGAATTAGAAATACTTAGCAGTTATGAGAGGGTGTCTTTCACTCCTACTGAGTTAATGAATTCCGCGAGAAATGTTCAAAAACTGCCCCGTCTGTCCATAACAGAAGACGGTCGATATGTCGAACACCTGTAGCAAAATCTCATGTCTTGGTTTGATATTTATTTTTATTCTTATTAGATATAGTTTAAATGTGTTGATGTTGGTTAACTATATTTTAAATTGTTATAAAGTTGAACTGAACTGAATCTCTCAGAGCAAATATTATTTTCGTTTTAATTGATGCTCACAGCTAGAATCTTTTTGCATTACAGCCGGTGCCGGTCAAAGCCTACTTATTTAAAGCGGGCGAATTTTTATATACTCTATATCTCGAAGAGGAATCGAGCAAAATATCAAGTGTGTTATATTTTTGGAAAGGTAATTTTAAATTCTTTTCAATAAATTAAAAATATACAGGGTGTCCCATATAAAAAATCAAATTTTCTGTTGATAATTCTTAAATTATTAATTTAAAAAAAAATTATACTTAAACCATTAAATTCTACGTAAAAAGGTGCTTTGGAAATGTTTTCATAGAAATACAAAATTTTCCATAGTAAAAAAGTTACAGCGATTTGTTAAAAATGCATATTTTTGAAAAACACCCCGTAACTCCGAAACGGTAACAGATATCGATATGCGGTTTTCACCATCATGTTTTTGACAAAAATTGAGCTCCAGACACCGATATTAGTTTCTGTCTATCTCCTACAGAAAAGGGTGTTTCCATTTAAAAGCGTCGAATTTAACCCACCCTGTACACGATGGAAAAGCTACCAATAAATTGGTGGCAATAGAAGGAACTTGACTAGAAGTACAACGTGTTTTGTGATCGGCAGCACGTAAGCTATATTGAGCAGATAGAAATGGGTTATTAGGTCTCAGAAGTCGAACACACGAAGACCAGTAGGCAAACCATCAAAATGATAATTTAGATCTCAGCATCACAGAAATAGTCAAAAACATTGTACGATGTTCAGTGTTTTTGACTATTTTTTGAGGTTTATCTTAGAAAAACATAGTAGCATGATAACATTTCAAGATTTATATGACATTTGATATTTAGATTCTCATATGACAAAAGAAAATGCAACCAAAATCAATTTAAATATCATATTTAGTTTACTGTAACACAGAAACTCTTTGTACTTCTTTCCATCTTATTCACTTTATTTAAATTCTTTACAATTTTGAGTAAAAATGTTTTTTTTCTTGTTTCAGTACCAGCAGAGATATCCCCACTGCAAAAGTCTTTCTCCAAGGAAGACTGGGTCCTGTTGGATGCAATGGGCTCCTGTCCAACGCCACAATGCTCGGGAAAATTTCTTACCATGCACAAGAGACGACGCAAAAGACTTACCACACGATCCTTAGCACAGGACCATGCTATTCTTGATGACATTCATCATGGCTTAGTTCAGGTATGTTTTATGGAATTTCTTACAGAGATCATCCATCAGAATAAAGCATTTTATTGATCACGTACTTTACTGAGCACATATATGTTCCCGTCATCCCTTCGTGGGACATAGGGCTTCTAAGAGATGTTTCCATCTGATCCTATTCTGAGCTGTCTGTTTGATCTCTCCCCATGTTTTCCCGACCTCTTGGGCTTCAGAGGTTACTGTTCTTCTCCAGGTAATCCTTGGTTTTCCCCTGGCACGTCTTCCCTGTGGATTCCATTCAAGTGCCTGTCTAGCGATATCTCTGTGGGGTCTGCGCAAAATGTGCCCAATCCAGCCCCAATTTCTTTTCTTAATTTCGATATCTATTCGATTTTGTGATGTTCTTCTCCACAGTTCTTCGTTGTTAATTTGATTGGGCCAGAAAATTCTCAATATTCTTCGAAGACACTTGTTAACAAACACCTGTAGGCGATCCATGAGACCACGCGTAACCTTCCATGTTTCGCATCCATAAAGCAAAATAGATTTGACATTGCTATTGAAGAGCTGGACTTTAGTTTTTTGCTATATATAGAGGAGTTCCACACAGGTGTAAGCATGCCAAAAGCTCTTTGTGCCTTCAAAATCCTTTCCTCTATATCTTTCTCTGTGCCCCCATCGCTGTGAACCATACTTCCCAGGTACTGAAATTCATCAACTCTTTCGATGGCTCGGTTGGAGAGGTATAGATCTTGGTTGTTGGGAGTTATTTGACCTCATTTCTTTGGTTTTCGCCACGTTGATTTGAAGACCGACATTATTAGCTTCCTCTTGGAGTCTAAGAAGTTTTTGAGACATATCCGAATGTGAATGGGAAAAGATGCATAGATCGTCTGCGTAATCCAGGTCTTCTAGCCTGCTTAAGAGTCCCCATTGTATCCCTAGTGGTTCTTTAAATGCTCTATTTAGTGCTATATCCAGAACGATGTTAAAGAGTAGCGGCGAAAGTATACAGCCCTGTTTTACACCTACTGCAATAGAAATTTTCTCCCCCACTTAACCTTTATGTAATACACAGCTTGTAGCATCGTGATAAAGCATTGTTTCTGTAAGCAGTAGTTCCTAAACATAATCGTCAAAAAAAGATTCGATTTTTTTTAAAGGTGCAGCATTTGGTAATGGTTCTGTTATAACTTCAAAGATCTGATGACGACCTTCAAAGCCCACAGTTTCATAGTTTGGTTCACTTTTATCCCAATTGGGTGTGAAAAAAATACGTTCACCAAAATTATCTTCTTTGTCAGATGTGTATGTACCATCTGGAGCATTTTCTTCGGTAATAAATATTTCAATGCCCCCTGCAATGTCTCGTCTAGTAGCTGTTCCAATATCTTCGTCGTTTGTATCATCTTCATCGCTCAATTCTTCGACTTCTGGAGGTAATGCTGCGATATCGGCATCAATCTGCTCTAAATATAAATACTCAACAGCATCTTCTAAAATTCTGCAGGCCTTTCTAGACATAATTCCGAACAAAATCACAATATCTGTGAATAAAATATGTTTTTAATCATCAACAATACCTAAAGTCTAGTTAGAACAATAATAGGAAATAATCAAATTTTATGCTCATTTGAGGACAGTAGAATTTGGTTACACCCTGTACATAAATCATGTCTCTAATGCTTTCGTACATATTATAATCATCAAACCTAACAATATAACTACAGGAAAAATTAAATTTTAATACATACCTTTGTTTTATAAAAAATCCAGCACAAGATTCAACGTGAACCAAAGTGACAAAAAAATGCAATAAATTTGACGATATTTCAGTCCAAATACCTAACTACAGGCCTTCGTAAAATGCTCCTAGAATCAGGGTATGACTGGCACTAACGTCCCCCTTGAAATTATTGTTGTTTTTTCGACGGTGTTAAAGCTATCCCCACCTATATCAGCTGTCCTCAAATGAGGACGCTGGACGTTAATGGGTTAACACATGAAATTGTCCAGTTATCTCCCTAGCAGTTTTCAAATGTTTCAGATCCAACAGAACTGGATCCACGATGTAGATCTCTGGAGCTGGATATTCGTCCAGGCCTGACTTTTTTGAAATTCCGGACCTACGCTTCTCCAATTTGTTAATAAGTATAAAAAATACCAAAAAGTTTGTTTCAGTTTGGATTTAATTTCCCTTCTTCTTTTATGGTACCGTCTTAAATGAAAGTTGGCAAGAATCTCGGCAAAACATTGTCTGCGTCTTGTGCAGCACAGAACAGGGCGTGTGAGTCCAATCTCTTATATTTTTCAACCAGTACTGCTTGCGTCTCCCAAGTCCTCTCTGCCTTCTTTTTATATATTTGAGATTAATCTTATGAAAATACAATTACTGCACTATACAGATTATATATAAGATTATACATTAGTGCCTTCCCTGTGTCAGTCGCCAGCCATCTCTATCGTACACCGGATCTTCTTTGACATTATTTATTATATATTAATTGACATTATATACAGTTGTTTATTTACATGTATGTTTATATTTTATTTATATTTAATTAAATAAATTTTTGACAATGTACAATTTCTATAATTGTATAAAGTATTGTTTTAGTTTTGTATGTTTGCTGTTAGTTTTATATGTTTTTCTATTGTTAAGTGAAGTTTTGTATGTTTTTTATATTCTTTTTTTTAAGCTTTGTCAACAAAATTGTAAAATTTTTTATGACAATAAAGCAATTTCTTTCTTTCTTTCTTTCTTTCTTCGATATTCCGATCTCTCATCGCTTGCCGTATACCATCGTTCCAGAATCGACGCGGGCGTCCTCTTTTATTTCTTCCAGGGAGTGACCATTTGAATACACATTTTGGCCATCTTGTGTCCTCCATCCTCATTAAAAAACCAAACCATCTGAAACCTCTGTTCTCGATTTGTTGAGTTATTGTTTCTTGTGCCGATGTTCTGTTTCTAATTTCCTCGTTTCTCACTCTTTGTAATCTGGACACTCTAGCACTTCTACGTAAGTAAGTAATCCATATCTACAGCCAATACTCTCCGTTTATCTTCTCTTAGGGCCCATATCTCACTCCCATAGCATAGGACTGATTCTACCATAGTTTGACCAATATGTTTCTTATTCTTTATATTAATATGTTTGTCCCACTAGATTGAGCGTAGCCTTCTTCTTCTATAGGATAATTAATTTGCAGTCTTTCCTGTTTTTTTCATATTCATAAGTAATTCTCTTTATTTGTAAAGCCTTCTAAGAACCTCCTTATTTTTTACGTGATCTGGCTTAATGGAATTTTGTAAAAAATATATTTTTTTAATATTTTGTAGATTTCTGTTTCAGCAGCCTTCATTCGGCTTTATTTTAAACCAAAATCAATTTTTTATTACATTTTAATGACTATTTATAAAATACACCCATATTAAAATGAACGTGTTAATCTTAAACAAAAATCTATTAATAAAACTAGCGTCCATGTCCCACAAAAAAAAATTGTAGATAAATAAAGAAAAACAATATTAGTATTATTCTGTTAAAAGATGTGGTTATTTGGTTTGTTCTAAATGTTATTCATGGAAATAATTATGAATGACCTAGTTTTAGTAACATATTTAGTTGAATGGAAAAGTAAGCAAGAAAAACAAGGAACAGAACAAAATTTAGCACCAAAACTAATAGTAAAAAGAAATAAAAGAGTTTTTTGTTATCTGTTAAGTAAATTACTTTTTTCAAACGTTAAAAAAGTATTAATTCTTGCGACGTGATTGGTCATTTTAATAACGCCTAGGCATAAAAGTAAGACACTTTTACCACAACTTTTACGCCTAAGCTAACGAAAATATATTATTAAACTGAAATAAAGTGGCAAATTCAACGAGTGTAACCATGGTTTCTCGACATATAATTACTTACAAGGTATTACATTTAAATCTCTTTATATTATTTGCAACGCTTGAAATTGTTTAAAAAAATTATTTGTGGCATTAGAAAAAAATAGCATGTTGTATTAGGAGTAAAAATGCCTTTTTTGTAAAAAAAATGTCAAACGTACAGCCTTGTCACAAAAAGTGTCATTTTTACTCCTAATAAAACAATATAATATTTTTAGCCGACCATACCAATAGGTATGGTAGGCTATTAGGATCGGCAAAAAAAAAGTTTATTTAATTTCACTCAAAATGAATTACTGGCTGTCTGTCTGTCTGTCCGTCTGTAACACGATAACTCAATAACCGCTGAACCGATTTTAACCAAATTTGGCACAAAAATACTGTGGCACCCGAGAATCTGGCCATTAGTTTTTGGTGGGGGTATGGGGGGAGTAAAGGGGTTGGTAAAGGGGTATGGGGGGGAGTTAAAGTAGTAATAAGTTTACGTTTAAACAATGTCTATAGCTTTCCGTTGCCGTTGGAGTCATTTAGATTTTTTTTTTTCAAATAAAGCCTGGGAATTTCGCCACTGAAAGATAAATCTAAATAATAAAAAAGTATTTTTTTATAAAATACCACTGCTTAGTAGGGATGTTCGGTTCTACGATTTGATATCCGGCACTACGAAGTACCGGTCCTACATCCGGTATACCGGTTCCAACAATTAGATCGGTGGGACCGATACTGAACCCGTGTATACCGGCTGGACCGGGAGACCAGTTGGACCGGAAGACTGGATGTAAAAAAATGTAAATAGAAAATTCTCTTGCCTGTAACGTTAAGTAAATACGATAACGTAATAAATACGATATTTTGGTACGATACGATAAATAAGGCATTTATTGTAAGGGTCAAATATGCTTACAAACTTTGGTTTTGGAGATATTTAGAGTTAATTAAATTTGCATACTATAATAAAAAATATTGTCAACACCCTATACATTGCTTTTCAGAATTAATTCTTGTGCCTGACTTTTAAGCCAAAGAAATAAACTTTACAGAAAATTTTGATTGCTTCGTTTAATGTACACAGGGGTATTAAAAATTGCTGGTCTATTTTAGATATTTATTTTACATAAAAACTTTGTTAACTTTATTCAAATACAACACCTTGTATTTTTTTAAATAAATCACAGCAGATTCAAAAGCTCTTTCAAACTATATTAGGGTTTCCTATACTTATCTAGCTCAAATTTTGAATGAAGAGTAATTTTTCAATAAAATGGCAACCAAGAGGCTTTATGTCGTCATGGAGTGACAGTTAGTAGCTATTTTCAAAATCGAAATTAGTTTATGAACTTTATTTAAATTTATACCAGTTTATTTTTATTAATTAATATTTATGTAATATGTATTTATTATTCATCAAGAAGAACGAAGATGTAGTTCTCTGATTTATTTTACGATGACTTGTAGATATATGGATTTTCTATAAAAGACCCAATTACGGAAAATTTATTTTCTTCACTTCCAACGATAGGTTTCTGCCTAATAGATTTTTATAAACCACACGACCAGCTCTGCGAAATAGGACAAGTAGTTTTTCAGAGAAACGCTTATCCGGAAGATTCCTCTATTTGGATATCTTTGATTTGATTTGACATAAGCCTTTGAGGACAAGAAGCAATTTTTCTCACAAAATAAAACCACTAGTAACATTCGTTCCGCTAGCAGATACTGCTTCATTTTTCTTAATAAAATAATGAATACTTGCTTATTAAACTATTGTAGGTAAATTTAAGTAAATTGTTTTAAATCTAAATAATAATGTCCATAAACTAATGTCGATTTTGTAAATAATTACTTACTGTCACTAGAAAATTGCCGTGAGAATGAGTTAGATAGGTATAGGAAACCCTAATATAGTTTGAAAGAAAAATACAGGGTGTTCCATTTGAAATAACGAGGTTTTTATATAAAATGAATCCTTAAAATAGATCAGCAATTTTTGGTATCCCTGTATAAATTTAAGGAAGCAATAACATTTTTCAGTAAAGTCCCATTTTTAAACACAGCACAAGAATTAATTCTGAAAAGTAATGTACAGGGTGTTAATAATCTATTTTATTGTAGCATGCATATTTAAATATCTTTAAATATCTCAAAAACCAAAGATTTTAAGCATATTTAACCCTTATCATACATGCTTTTTTTGGGACCAAGAATCCCAAAATGAAATAAACTAACCGATGTTCCATAAGAAAAAATATAACTTTGGTATGGATCTTAGTTCTGAAACACCCTGTATATTTCAAAATAATTTTAAATTGTGCACATTGCCTCCCCACATATGCCCATAAAATATTTTGTTTCTACATCTTTCCGTTTTCGTATAATCAACCGAGGAGAATGAGGTGCTCCACCCTGTATAAAATTTTAAAATACATGAAAATTTTAAGGTGCCTGTTTTTCGTGCCGGTGAGTTTAGTATAATATGGTTTTGGCGGGATGTCTTGCTTTCCTTACTATTTTTAATTAGTGTACTGTGTTTGTATATAATCTTTAAAAACTGATTTTTGTTGCAGCGAATTTTGGAGCGTTGCAGCGCGTGGGCCTTCAACGCATTCACCTTGGAAACCGTAGCCGGTGGTCGATCACTGCCCGTACTTTGCGTACACCTTTTCCACTGGTACGGTTTGCTGGATCACTTCCAGTTGGACGTCGTGCGCGTCTGGAAATTATTTAGTAAGTTATGCTCAGTTAAAATGTTACGTGCATGAACGCTCCAATAAACATTATCTAGTAAACAGATTTGTCAGTTGTCAAAAGTTACGCCACATTTAATTTATGACTGAGGTGAATTAGAGTTTATACAGCTTTGAAATACCAAAGTTGTGACTACTGTGTTGTGACTGAGAAGAACTAAAAACTCAACTTCTTATTTAATTGTTTCAAAAATTCTTTCATTCACCGTATAAAGTTATTTAATCTATTTTATAATAAATATGGTGCCCGGTGGCGTAGAGGTACAGGCTCTCGTCTACCAATCTAAAGGTTGTGGGTTTGAATCCTACAGCCGGCATTTGATCAGCCGTCTATTTTTAATAAAAATAAAAATAGTTTGGGTACCTACCCAACAAGCAAAATTTATTGCTGGAACATTGCGAAAACTTCGCAAAGCAAGGTGTAACATTGCTTTTTTCATTGTAGGGAGGTTTATGCAAGGTTTCAGGGTAGCTTAATCTTCCGCCAAATAACATTGCAGTGCAAGGTTGCATTTCACAATATTATTGAAACGTTGCTAATGTAACGTTCAAGAAAGTACTAATTTAGGATGCATTAGCAATATTGTTAATTTTACGTCAATACAATATTGGTAAAGTTATATTATTAATTATAATTAACTGACTTATTGCTAAATTAATATAGCAAAAAATAGATAATGTTTGCATTAAAAAACCATTTCATTCATCAGAGGGAAAATATAAAAATTATTTTTTAATTTTAATATTTACTTATCTATTAATGAAACAGTTTTTTCTTGCGAACATTAGCAATTTTATGCAATTTTATGTTAACAATAATACTTCAGTAATAAGGTTATAATCAACAGAAATATTAATGGGTATTAAATTGTAGACTTTCAGATAGGTATAATATACTTTTACTAATATTGTATTGACGAAAAACATAAACAATATTGATAAAAATATGTAGGTATATCTCTATATCCATTGACTTAGAAAAATTAAAAATGCTCGGTAAATATATCCCTACCAAGAAAGTCGAATTTGTCAAACAAATTGAAAAAAAAAAACAAATAAAATTAGAAATTTATCACTTACTTGTTTCAAAAATATCAAAAATACTGTCAAGTACTGAGAACTTACTGATCTTTTCGGCTGCTCGTTAAATAAGGAATTACTCAACTCTGACCTCCGAGTCGAATTTCTAAAAAATCGAATGTCTGAAATAATACAAAATATATAGGTACAGTATAAACATTATTTTATATTTCTTATTCAAAAATACAAAAGGAAAGTATAACATTAAATATATGTAGAAGGAGAAGCAATATATTTTAATTGATTTTTTGGATCTTTCATATTTTGTCTTCGCATGTTGGATTGTCTTATTCATGGTTTCAAATTTCTCTTCGGTAAAGTTTTGAAATCTATATCCAATCATTTCTAAAGTAGTAAAAATAAAACAATCAGTTGTAATAAATAAAGCAATGAGAAACTTACCTCTTGTGACAGTAATCTTTGAGGCCCCTGTATGTCCTTATTTTAAAAATTTCAAATGATTATAACATCATTAAAAAAAATATTATTGAGAATAATTAATACTGAATGTTATTTGTGATGTTATCATTAGATTGATATACTCGTATCCCCTGATATTATCTACTTCAATTCTCAGTTGGCTAAAAGCTAACCTAAAACATAAAATTTAGCTTAAAAACAAACTAAACTAAACAAAATTTGTTATACTTATTCAAGGCTAAGTATTATTAAAACACACATAATAATAAAATTATACTTACATTTACATTCATTAAAATCTCATTCGAAAAGCATAAAATCTGATACCAGAAACGTAAAAAACAAGTGCGTTAACATAACCTAACTTCTTATACCGTATGATCGAAAAAAAGACGTCAGCGATGGCTATGAAAAGGAAATCGCTGTCATTTTATATGGGGAATGTCATCGATATTCATTTCCAAGCCAACTAGACGCCGTTTTTTTTCGATCCTATGGTATATTTGTTATATTATTAATTAATATTAACTTGCGCGGATCTTTCATTTGAATCTTTGTTGCAATGTTGCAGAAAAAACGTTTTAATCACCATTCAAAACAATGTTTCTGTAGCAAGGTTTTATCAATCACGACACAACGTTTAGAAATCAACATTACAAAGCAAACTGTTTGGGGATTGACTGCAATGTTGCAAATGTAATGTGAGGTTTTTTGCTTGGTGGGTAGTGCTAGCAACATTACCTTCCTTGTATACCGAACGACTTTAGTATAGCAAGCTGTACCTTGCTACTCCCAAGGCGTTAAACGCTATATACGGGAGCTATTATTATTATTATTTATAATAAATATTCTCGCTAATTTAGTGTTTTTCTATAATTTGCTTTAAATTAATTTTGTTGGTTTTTTGTTTCATTCTGCATTCAGCATTCTTTATATCAGAACTAAACTTTAACTACATTTCTGTCAAAATAACAATAGGCAGTTAACTTCAGAATAAGCATGACATACATGTGTTATTTGAGTAGAGAAGGCAAAATTTTGAATAGAAAACTCCTGTCTTAGAAATTAAGTGTATGATATTTCAGACTTCATTTATACGCACTTATGTCGGTCTTACAAGTTGTTTAGCGTTTTGTTGTGGATATAATCAAACTAGTACACAGATAAGATATGACAGTGTAGGCACAATTCCTTTTGACATAACTACTACAAAGCCATAGTGTGGTATGACAAGCTGCACGATAAGACAATTGTTTCACAGACGCCACATACCTTTCTAATGAAAGGTAAGGCGTTTAAATACATTAAATAATAATGTAATTCTCTAAACAATAAGTGTAATGAAAATATCGTTTTTTGATAGTAATAGAGTTAATGATATAAGATGTTAAATAAATAATTTTATACAATTTGTATATATCCATTCATTTATGAATTGAATAAAAAACATAAACAAACTTTTGAGGACATATACAAAGCGTCAAAAAATAATGTATCTAACTTTGGTGAGTGATTATACAGATAAAAATAAAACAAAAGTTCCCATGAATAATATCACAGTTTAAAGAATATAAATATATACAGTTGGCTCACTCTAAGGAATTCAATTGTTATTTTGACTTCAAAGGCGGCCCGCGACCCTTCGAGGTGACAAAAAATTTGTACGTTTACCGGGTGCAGCGGAAGTGCCATTTTATCAGTCAGAACGCTGGCCGTATACGAGGAATCAACTAAAAATACTAAGCAATTTTAATATAGCAAGTAGAAAAATTAAAATACAGTACTAGTTTTATTGATTGACAGTTTTAGGCGTCTTTAATAATTGATCAATACTTTCTTCTTATTATTATTTAATAACATATCTCATAAATCGCAAATTCTAATAATAGATATGATATTGTTCTGGTGTTTAATTTTCATATCTGTGGGATCCTATAAATCCTAAGGCACATTTCCAGGCTCCACACCTACAAGTTATTTTCCTTATCAGACTCTACTTATGCATATTATGGTGAATACATTAATATCAAAATATTAGATATATTATTCTATCCCAATTCTTTGGAATATGGAATTGTCAATAGGGGAATTATTATTAATAATTATTATGGAAACCCCATATGAAAAATGTATTCTAAATAAATATAATAAATTATTTTTTTTAATATATATAATAATATATTTGCATATTTCTTAAATTATAGCATGTTTTGCTTTATAGGTGTTTACATTTTTACATTACCTACCTGGAAAGCCCACATTTTATCGTAAGGTATTAAAGTACCGTATGATCGAGAAAAAACGGCGTCAACGATGGCTATGAAATAAAGATCGCTGTCATTTTATATGTAAATTTATATGGGAAATGTCATTGATCGTCATTTCCCAGCCAACTGGACGCCGTTTTTTTTCGATCATACGATACCTTAGCATACAACTTGTGTTGCCATTGTCAATTTTTTTGGATTTTTTTCTAAATTTTAAGATTATCATGAACAGTAATTATGACTGTTAGTAGTTAATTATGTAATAAATTTTAATGTTTGATAAAATTTAGTAAAAACTAAAAAAAAATTGACAATGGCAAGACAAGTTGTATCCAAGTACTTTTAATTACCTTTTGATGAAATGGTAGATAATTCAAGTTAAATGCAAACTGCTAAAAAGCAAAACATGCTATAACTTAAGAAATATCCAAATATAATTTATTACAATATTTACTACTAATTGAAGAGCACACGTAAAAACAATGAAAGTACCAAAAAGCTACACCTTTTGGTACCTAAATAAACGGGAATATCGATCCACATAGAAACAGTCATTTAAAAATGGGAAAAACTATATAAAAGTCCATGCGTAATTTGAATTAAAAAAACGCTTTCCTGAACATTTATCATTTCTGGATACTCATCGTTTTTCCCATGTGCTCGTCAATTGTTATATTTACTGTTACATAACATTTTGTAAAAACTCTAAAAAACTTGTCAATAGCAGAACAAGTTGTATGCACGTATATTTATTACCTGAGGATAAAATTTGGACTTTCCAGGTAGGTTGGATACAAATACAAAAATCTAAAAAGCAAAACATGGTATTTAAAAAAATGCAAATATCTTAAAAAATAATTTAATATGCACCTTGCAAACCGGTAAATACTGGAAAATCCAAAACATAATAGTAAAATATCTACTACTACTCTAAGATATCTACTAAAATAATAAACTAATTGTTAAAAATAAATATTCTGTGCATATTTCGAGTAAAATCTTTTCTTAATTTACATGTATATTTTTAAAACAATTTATTCATAATTGGGTTTCCATAATTATAATATACTTAATATGTCTAATAATTTAATTAGTATATACTTAATATCCTATACTATATAAACATATACCTTTCTTCGTCTTTTGGGCACCTAAAGAACGATATATTGTCTGTCATTCTACTTTCACAACCATCCACTGCACAAATATTTCTAGTTGACATTTTATTTACAATTCGGACAAAACAACTAAAACACAATTTTTGGTTCACCCTATGCGTCGGACCGAAAACAAAACTAAAATAAACTTGGAATTCTGTGTACACGTCGAGCAACGGATGTAGACTGACCCAAGTCTACAAGCTACAAGACAGGCGGGGAACGGCGGGAGGAATTTTGATACGGGCGAAGAGTGGGCCAACTGATATATTTATATTCTTTAAACTGTGATAATAGGTTCTAAAATGCTTCTCGAAGAAGTTACAGCCCTCCAAATGTTAAATAAAAACAATATATTTTGTTTATTTTTAAGAACATTTGGTAAACCGTTTTTCCTGAAATTTGGTACTCTTACACACATTTTAATGCCAAAGCGAATGACGATTGTGAAAAATTCCGTAACAGCCCTGAAAGGGTACTTTCCATTAGGATAGAGAGTACTACTGGTGGTACGTTTTTTATTCTTATAGATATAGTCATTTCAATAAATGAAAATTAAAGCCAGGATTATTTTATTTAAAAAAGATGCTCTTCGTTTAGTTCGAAACTGTAAACGGTTTTCAACATATTTGCGTTTAAAGGTTCCGATTAGGGATGGGCAAAACTGTTATTTTTAGATAACAGTTGAAACTGTTATAGTTATTTATAAAAAACAGCTTAAAATAACAGCTTAAAAATAACATGTTTCTTTATTTTATTGCTAAATATCTGAAAGAGTATGAGGCGGTCACCGCCAGGCGTATTAACGCAGTTGCAAGTTGCAACGATGACATGCTCGGTGGTAGTATTTCCAGGGTGTCAAAACATTTCTAAATATCGATTGTTATCTAAAATTCCTCGCTAAAAACGGTGGTTGTTTACAAATAAGCGCTGTTTACAAATTGCGATATAAAAAAGCCAAAATTCCGCCACTCGTCTATACCTATACATTCCGATCTACCTACGCCTTGCCCCTCGATCCGCGTAGATCCTGAATTGCGTAGCAGTGTACAGGGTGCATCTCACTCGACGGGCGAGAAGCTCTTAGTTATAATTTTACCATTTGCGGCCAAAAAATAGCAATATAAGAAAATGTGTAGTATATTCTTCATAAGTAAACCAACTACACACTAGAGTTCGATTTAATTTTACACATAAACTAGCGTGTACCCGCGACTTCGTTCGCGTCGAATTAATAATTTGTAATGGTGATGATAAAGCAAAGCAAGAATTTCTATTAACATACAAACTGGATAAAATTTTCTCACATTTGCCAAAAATAAGCTTTAAACGTCGAGCAGTTTAAGCAGAATCGTGGTTAATCAATTACTCAATTTTTTGGAACACCCTGTATAATTTTTTAAAAAAATTCAAAATATTTAAAAAAACAAAACAAATTATGCGTGTCCAAGCGTTTTCCCGAAAGACTAACCGTTTTTTAAATAACAAATATTGTAATATTTGAGGGGCGTTTTCACCCTCTTGGAATTTGAGATTGGAGAAACCCCTCCTTATCGAACCTCAACCCCACAGTCAATCCGTTTGCCAAAAACCGTTTTTCCGAAAAACTCACCGGTTTTTAAATAAAAAAATATTCTAATATTTGAGGGTGGTTTCACCCCCTTAGAATTCGAGTTTCGAAAAATCCCTTCTTATCGAAACTCTACACCCCAAAGTCAATCCGTTTTCCAAAAATCAGCTTTTTACATCAACGGCTTTAAGCAGGATCGTGATTAATCAATGACCAGATTTTTCAAAACAAACTGTACACATTTTTAAAAAATCTTAAAATATTATTCTGAAATTTTTTCAGAATAAATAAATACCTAAGTATTGAAACTTAATAACGTACTGAAACATACAGCGCCATAATATCTCGACCTCCGCCCGTTATGCTCGTAACAGGTTGAAAAACAATGTATCTAAAACAACTGATGCGTTATTCTCCAACCTGTTTCGAACCTCCATCGACAATCGATCGATGCAGCAGCGTTTCTTTCCCACTCCGATTATCTCGACCGCCGCCCTGTTATGCTCGTAACAGCTTGAAAAACAACGTGTTTAAAATGAATGCTTCTCCAACCCGTTGCGAGCCTCCATCGACAATCGACCGATGCAGCAGCGTTCCTTTCCCACTCCTTTTATCTCGACCGCCAGGCGTTATGCCCGAAATTGTTTCAAAAAACCTGCTTCTTTTATATCCTATTATTTTTAAGCTGTTGCAAGCCCAATACGTCCATCGACCGAAGCAGCTACGTTTGCCGTAGCGCATTCCCCACTCCGTTGTCTGTTGTTTCGCCGCCTGTATCGATGGTTGACGAAATAACATGTTTTCCGTCCATACTAGTTGTTTTTTGGAATTGCTTCGAGCAGCATAGAATTTCCAAATTGGCCGATCTCTACGTGTCGTTATTTTATATCTGTTATTTTTTAGAAGTAGTAACGGTTGCGTTATGTTATTTCAAAAGAATTGTTATAAAATAACCAGATATAGTTAAATAACAACCCATCACTAGTTTCGATGCATCGATTTTAGCATTAGCGAAATCAGGAGATTAATTTATTTAAAATTTCACTAATACTTTGTAGGTAATCTTTAAAGGCAAATATCTTGAAAACCGTTCACTTTTTCGAATTAAACGATGAGCACTTGTTTAACGTAAAAAAAAATTCTAGCCTAGCTCTTTATATCATTTGTTGAAATTACTGTACCTAAAAGGATAAAAGAAGTACCGCCAATAGTACTCCCTAACCTAAAGGAAAGTACCCTTTCAGAACGGTTACGAAATTTTTCAAAATCGCCATTCGTTTTGGTATTAAAATGTGTGGAAGAGTACCAAATTTCAGGAAAAACGATTTACCAATGTTCTTAGAAATAAACAAAATATATTATTTTTGTTTAACCTTTAGAGGGCTGTAACTTTTTCGGGAAGCATTTTAGAGCATATATTCACAGGAACTTTTGTTTAATTTTTATCTGTATAATCACTCACCAAAGTTAGACACGCTATTTTTTGACATCCTGTATAAACAACGTAATATTTTGACATTACATGTAATTTTACATCTCAAATCATGACTGCCACTTTTTGTATCTTTCTATTTTAAGTAAAAGACATTAAAAATTCTGTGTTTATTGAATTAAAAATATTTTTGATAGCTAAATAACGTTCCCAAGTAGCATTTTCACGACTTGCGACCACATGTTTACTAAACACAACGTTGGATTAGCTACAAAAAATAGGTAGCTCCCTACCTTGGGTATTAAAATAAATTTAAACGTTTTTATAACGTTGTGCCGACGCGACGTTGGACTAGTACTACAGCAAAGTAGGAAGCTTCTGCGACGTCGAATAAACGTTGTCTTGTAACCTTTTTTGCTTAAGTGATCTTTAGGTGATTCGGACAACGTAATTAACGTTGGACAATATAGAATTTTCCTACGTCAGTTTCAGGACCTATTCCAACGTTATGCAAACGTCGTCTGTTTTACTAATTCCAACGTTGTTTAGATTTCCTTATTCTTACGTTGGTGGGACGTCGAGTCACTACCTTTTTGCAACTGTATTGAACCATAACCTTAAATCTTAAATTTTCACTTCATTGTTCTGTTCAGTCAGACAGTTCAGTGCTGTTTTTGTTTTTATAAAAAAAAACTTAATTAAAATGGGACATGAGAAAGGTACATATAAAACTAAATTTAAATATACATCGACATATATTACCGATAGTTTATCCACTCCCTCGTTTATTTAGATTATAGAGGGCGGCACAAACTAGACTCTAGGATGACTAAATTAGGCAATCTTGCGACTAGTATACCTACTACCTGTTAAGGCCGAACTGCGACTTTATTAGTCCAGTATGCGACTACTCGAACTACTCCATCTTAATCTCCAAAACAACAAAGTGAAAGCCGCCATGTTGTTAAATAAGAAAATGTTTCGTTCCTAAAATAGCAATTCCTGCTTTTTGAATACATTAACTTGAAATATTTGACCCTAAAAACACGCGGAAACAATTTTTTCGACTGCGAATAAATTATTCTCATTTTACTAAAAAAAAATTCAAGAAAATTTTTAAAACTTCTTTAATTTTAAGGCCCATTAGTATTTTTCAAAGTAGAAACAATACATTTATCAATAAAGTTGTTTGCGTTTAACTTTTTTGCCTAGGGTAACGAGTTACAGAGTCGGTTAAAGTGTTTCAATAATTATGATCTTCAAACATCCTCCACACTTAAATACTTTTGTTTGGTTTTCCTTCACTGCCATCTGACATATATGTCTCTAACTAAATCATAAAAATAATATTTTTACTATAATTATCCCAATTTAGAATAAAACGCGACTTAGACGCCATATTAGTTTTGTATTTCTGTGAATTAGGATTTTAAACAACGTTGCAGTTTGTACTGAATTAGGCTTCTAGCCAACGTCGGTATCCAACGTCGTTTCGACCCAAAAATGATTCTCCAAACTAGTGCAGACTAGGGTTGGCACGAGGTTGTGCCGACGTTGCGCCCCGACGTTTGGTCGCGTGACACAACGTTGTCCCAACGTCCAAATGCTGCTTGGGTTAGCATTTACGAAATCTGTTTTCATTAGCCGTTGTTAAGTAAAACGTTTAATATGTGCATAATTAAATATTGTTTTATATGTTAACTGATTATCTGTTTATATTTTTAGCTCTTATAGAGGAGGGGTACCATAGCACAAACCCCTACCATAACTCGATTCATGCGACTGATGTAACACAAGCAATGCATTGTTTTTTACAGGAGGAAAAGGTAAGCATGTAAATTTTAAACCGAGTAAATTTTGTTATGTTCTTCGTGCGTATATTGAATATTCAGATTTTTTTATAATAATTAAATAAAACAAAGTTAGTTACACCATTTATAACTCACGAACGGCCATTTAATAAATAAATAATAAAAATTCGGAAAATACCAGAAGTTGACAGCAACTTTCTTATTTTAAATGGGTACCCCCGTTTTTATTACCTAGTTACATTCTCTGTAAATTTTTATGAATTTTGATATGACATAAGTGTGTCATATCAAAATTCAGTAATAAAAATTGTGAACGATTAAACACAAGGTAATCAATTTAAGTAGTTTTATATACTGCCATTTAAATAAATTGTTAAGTTTGAACAATTTTGAGAACGTGGTATAGACTCATGATTTGGTGCTTCAAGTATTTCTGGCGATATCGATTCATCATTATCACTTTCATCGGTATCGGGAATCCAGTCGGGATTATTACTCATGTTTTCTTTCTTTTAATTTTTATTTTATCTCATTAAAACGCGAGTACAAAATAATTTATTTAATTTTCAACCTCGCTTCTTTAATATTGACACTTCCAGACTGTCTTTTTCGCTTGTCAATTTGCGTGTGCCAATGAAAATTTGGGTGCGAGAAGTTTACTTGTCGCACTCAAATCGACAATAAATTTGCCCATATAATATCGACACTTCGAGACTGTCTTTTTTGCTTGTCAATTTGCGTGTGCCAATGAAAATTTGGGTGCGAGAAGTTTACTTGTCGCACTCAAATCGACAATAAATTTACCCATATAATATCGACACTTCGAGACTGTCTTTTTTGCTTGTCAATTTGCGTGTGCCAATGAAAATTTGGGTGCGAGAAGTTTACTTGTCGCACTCAAATCGACAATAAATTTGCCCATATAATATCGACACTTCAAGACTGCCTTTTTGCTTGTCAATTTGCGTGTGCCAATGAAAATTTAGGTGCGAGAAGTTTACTTGTCGCACTCAAATCGACAATAAATTTACCCATATAATATCGACACTTCGAGACTGTCTTTTGCTTGTCAATTTGCGTGTGCCAATGAAAATTTGGGTGCGAGAAGTTACTTGTCGCACTCAAATCGACAATAAATTTGCCCATATAATATCGACACTTCGAGACTGCCTTTTTTGCTTGTCAATTTGCGTGTGCCAATGAAAATTTAGGTGCGAGAAGTTTACTTGTCGCACTCAAATCGACAATAAATTTACCCATATAATATCGGCACTTCGAGACTGTCGTTTTTGCTTGTCAATTTGCGTGTGCCAATGAAAATTTGGGTGCGAGAAGTTTACTTGTCGCACACAAATCGACAATAAATTTGCCCATATAATATCGACACTTCGAGACTGCCTTTTTTGCTTGTCAATTTGCGTGTGCCAATGAAAATTTGGGTGCGAGAAGTTTACTTGTCGCACTCAAATCGACAATAAATTTGTCCATATAATATCGACACTTCGAGACTGCCTTTTTTGCTTGTCAATTTGCGTGTGCCAATGAAAATTTGGGTGCGAGAAGTTTACTTGTCGCACTCAAATCGACAATAAATTTGCCCATATAATATCGACACTTCGAGACTGTCTTTTTTGCTTGTCAATTTGCGTGTGCCAATGAAAATTTGGGTGCGAGAAGTTTACTTGTCGCACTCAAATCGACAATAAATTTGCCCATATAATATCGACACTTCGGACTGTCTTTTTTGCTCGTCAATTTGCGTGTGCCAATGAAAATTTGGGTGCGAGAAGTTTACTTGTCGCACTCAAATCGACAATAAATTTGCCCATATAATATCGACACTTTGAGACTGTCTTTTTTGCTTGTCAATTTGCGTGTGCCAATAAAAATTTGGGTGCGAGAAGTTTACTTGTCGCACTCAAATCGACAATAAATTTGCCCATATAATATCGACACTTCGGACTGTCTTTTTTGCTCGTCAATTTGCGTGTGCCAATGAAAATTTGGGTGCGAGAAGTTTACTTGTCGCACTCAAATCGACAATAAATTTGCCCATATAATATCGACACTTTGAGACTGTCTTTTTTGCTTGTCAATTTGCGTGTGCCAATAAAAATTTGGGTGCGAGAAGTTTACTTGTCGCACTCAAATCGACAATAAATTTGCCCATATAATATCGACACTTCGGACTGTCTTTTTTGCTCGTCAATTTGCGTGTGCCAATGAAAATTTGGGTGCGAGAAGTTTACTTGTCGCACTCAAATCGACAATAAATTTGCCCATATAATATCGACACTTCGAGACTGTCTTTTTTGCTTGTCAATTTGCGTGTGCCAATGAAAATTTGGGTGCGAGAAGTTTACTTGTCGCACTCAAATCGACAATAAATTTGCCCATATAATATCGACACTTCGAGACTGTATTTTTCGCTCGTCAATTTGCGTGTGCCAATAAAAATTTGGGTGCGAGAAGTTTACTTGTCGCACTCAAATCGACAATAAATTTGCCCATATAATATCGACACTTCGGACTGTCTTTTTTGCTTGTCAATTTGCGTGTGCCAATGAAAATTTGGGTGCGAGAAGTTTACTTGTCGCACTCAAATCGACAATAAATTTGCCCATATAATATCGACACTTCGAGACTGTCTTTTTGCTTGTCAATTTGCGTGTGCCAATGAAAATTTGGGTGCGAGAAGTTTACTTGTCGCACTCAAATCGACAATAAATTTGCCCATATAATATCGACACTTCGAGACTGTCTTTTTTGCTTGTCAATTTGCGTGTGCCAATGAAAATTTGGGTGCGAGAAGTTTACTTGTCGCACTCAAATCGACAATAAATTTGCCCATATAATATCGACACTTCGAGACTGCCTTTTTTGCTTGTCAATTTGCGTGTGCCAATGAAAATTTGGGTGCGAGAAGTTTACTTGTCGCACTCAAATCGACAATATATTTACCCATATAATATCGACACTTCGAGACTGTCTTTTTTGCTTGTCAATTTGCGTGTGCCAATGAAAATTTGGGTGCGAGAAGTTTACTTGTCGCACTCAAATCGACAATAAATTTGCCCATATAATATCGACACTTCGAGACTGTCTTTTTTTGCTTGTCAATTTGCGTGTGCCAATAAAAATTTGGGTGCGAGAGTTTACTTGTCGCACTCAAATCGACAATAAATTTGCCCATATAATATCGACACTTTGGACTGTCTTTTTTGCTTGTCATTTTGCGTGTGCCAATGAAAATTTGGGTGCGAGAAGTTTACTTGTCGCACTCAAATCGACAATAAATTTGCCCAGATAATATCGATACTTCGAGACTGTATTTTTTGCTTGTCAACTTGCGTGTGCCAATGAAAATTTAGGTGCGAGAAGTTTACTTGTCGCACTCAAATCGCCAATAAATTTGCCCATATAATATCGACACTTCGAGACTGTCTTTTTTGCTTGTCAATTTGCGATTTTTTGCTCGTCAATTTGCGTGTGCCAATGAAAATTTGGGTGCGAGAAGTTTACTTGTCGCACTCAAATCGACAATAAATTTACCCATATAATATCGATACTTCGAGACTGTCTTTTTTGCTTGTCAATTTGCGTGTGCCAATGAAAATTTGGGTGCGAGAAGTTTACTTGTCGCACTGAAATCGACAATAAATTTGCCCATATAATATCGACACTTCGAGACTGTCTTTTTTGCTTGTCAATTTGCGTGTGCCAATAAAAATTTGGGTGCGAGAAGTTTACTTGTCGCACTCAAGTCGACAATAAATTTGCCCATATAATATCGACACTTCGAGACTGTCTTTTTTGCTTGTCAATTTGCATGTGCCAATGAAAATTTGGGTGCGAGAAGTTTACTTGTCGCACTCAAATCGACAATAAATTTGCCCATATAATATCGACACTTCGGACTGTCTTTTTTGCTTGTCAATTTGCGTGTGTCAATGAAAATTTGGGTGCGAGAAGTTTACTTGTCGCACTCAAATCGACAATAAATTTGCCCATATAATATCGACACTTCTAGACTGCCTTTTTTGCTTGTGAATTTGCGTGTGCCAATGAAAATTTGGGTGCGAGAAGTTTACTTGTCGCACTCAAATCGACAATAAATTTGCCCATATAATATCGACACTTCGAGACTGTCTTTTTTGCTTGTCAATTTGCGTGTGCCAATGAAAATTTGGGTGCAGGAAGTTTCACATTCATTTATTTTTACTTTATACCTTTATATTAGCATTGAATGCTTTAAAAAAATTATATTGCAAGCTAATTATTTTCATTTCTATTACAGATCAGGCGACACGTGACTCCTCTCGAAATAATGGCGTCTCTAATCGGTGCTGTCGCTCACGATCTGGACCATCCTGGCGTTAATCAACATTTTCTCATCACTACTTCTAATCACCTTGCCATTCTGTATCAAGTAAGTTTTATTAGCAATGCGATTAATAACACGGCCACCAGGGGCGCATATACGGGAGGGGTAATAAGGGTAATTACCCCTCCCAAGAAGGAAATTTATGAATAAGATAAAATTTGTTAGAAATAAAATTGTCACAAAAGAAGTTAATATATACTATCAATCAGAATAGAAAATCCAAACCTATCAAGGTATATTTCTTCCCACAGTCACAATATCTTTCAGAGAAAATATTATTTAAATTTAGTACTTTATTTAAGTATTGCCACTATCCTTCCCAGACTCAGTCTCTAGATGTGCCATTGACAGCCACAAAAAAAATGAAAAGTGGGGTATGCTTTTTACCAGATCATCATATCCTATAGTATTTTTCGACGCTAAGCATGAATCTATCTTAATCCCATCAGAATTACGCTATCACATCTCATTTTTTTTCTTCAAAAATTTAATGAAAATCCGTAAAAATTGAAATTCAGGAAAATGTAGTAGGAAAATAAAAAATAAAAATTCTTATGTATGGCACTATAACCTAATGTAAATGGGCATGATAAACTCAAAACATCTATCAGAATTGAGCTAGCATGTCTCATATTTTTTTCTAACCTCAAAAAACCTATCTCAAGTCATGATTTTCCGACAAGTAAAAATATTATAGACTACTAATTAACTGTTACTAAAAATATTATATTATTGTATTACCAACTGTTTTCTCCGAATTCAAAAATGTATCACACATGTGCATTCTTCTTAATTTCTTTCAAGATCGACAATTGATTAACAACATGTTTTTTGAATGACTGCTTTAACCCAACGAACAAAAAAGTTATAAGCTTTTAAAAGTGGGTCAAACTAAAATGATAACCCTGTACTTACTTGTTTATGTTTAAACTTTTTTTATTTGGTTCATAAACATTGCCTGGAAACTTATATGGTGAAATTTTGATAAAATAATTTAGTACTCACTAAAAACACGGTAGGTCGCTAGTGGTAGGAAAAATAATTTTTAGAGGTTACTAGTTTATTTGGTTGCCTGTGATATGCATATACAGGGTGTTTCCTAATTAATCTAAAAAATAAAAAATCGTTAGAAAACGTCTTAAGGCGGGTTCTTAATAAGTATATTTATTTTTTTCTCAGCAACCGTTTGATGAACAAGAAAAACTCAAAAGATCAATTTTGTTGAAAAAGTATGGCCAGTCAAGAAAAATATATTTTCTTTAAAAAAGCAGTAGTGTACCATTTATGTTAAGCAAAATATCGATTTTTTTTTAATTTTTAACACCCTGTAGATCAGAAAGGAAGTACTTTAGACCTAATGGTTATATAAAAATTGTTTTAAGAACACATGAGGAATCACACCACAATTTTTTAGACTAATTAGAAAACACCCTGTATATTGTCAACTTGACAATGATTGTTGATAAATCAAAACATACCTTTTCTGTGAAAGAAGCCCGATTTTCGCAGGAAAATTTTTGATTTTTATCGAATTTGGGCCTGCGTCTGCAAATACCGGTATGTTTTTTAATATTCTATCTACCTAAATTTTAAATATCATAATCAGAAATAGTTTTATTATTTATTAACTGTAAAAATGGTATACTTATTTACGTTTTATCAAATATTGTGATTTACTTTCTACCTTGTAGTCAAAATTTATATTTAATAAACTGTAAAATATATATATTCTTATGTTTTATTAAAGTTACTCTGATATACTAATATACCAGTGTAACTTTAAAACTAAATCCTTTGAAATCAAATATAAACATAAAAAATATTTACAGCAGAAAAGGCGAAGGCGCTGGGTTAAACGTAGTCTCTACTAAGAACACGGAGGGGCGCTTTGACCCAAAATTTTACTATTAAGTTTCATATCTATCTTAATAGAAGATTATTTTCTTTTATCTATGTTCATAAATTTGTTATTTCCAAAATGTCAAAAAGTCTTTAATAAAAAAGTGTAATATCTAACACGAAAAAGATGATCGACTGTAAATATCAAAATGCACAAACTACAAATCGCTTAACTTTCCGACAGATCAGGAATATCTGAATTAATAATTATTTAAAAAACGATTTAAAAATAACTTGACGGATCACCAACATTTTGTCAAAGTCAAGACCAAAACTAGACCTTAGACCATAGATAAAAGAAAATAATCTACTATTAAGATAGATATGAAACTTAATAGTAAAATTTTGGGTCAAAGCGCCCCTCCGTGTTTTTAGTGGAGACTACGTTTAACACAGCGCCTTCGCCTTTTCCGCTGTAAATGTTTTTTATGTTTATATTTGAATTCAAAGGATTTATGTTTATATTTGAATTCAAAGGTAACTTTATTAAAACTATAAGAATTACACTGATATATTAGTATATCAGAGTAACTTTTATATATAATACATATAGAATATATATATTTTACAATTTATTTTATTTTTTTTATTTATTTTACAGAGTTTCATGTAAATGATCGTAAGTCGACTGGCTGTCTAATGAATAGACCGAGATTTATAGATTTTAAAGCAAACGAAAAGAAATCAAACAACGAATACATACCATATATTTTTCTTTTATCTAAGATACATACCTTATCGTCTTTTGGAAACACGTACATTTTTTCAGTTTTGTTAGTTTCTTTGCAAGATGCAACACAACAAGAAAACACCATTTTTACAGTTAATAAATAATAAAACTATTTCTGACTATGATATTTAAAATTTAGATAGATAGAAAATTAAAAAACAAACGAGTATTTGCAAATGTGGGCCCAAATTCAATAAAAATCAAAATTCCTGCGAAAATCGGGCTTTTTCACAGAAAAGGTATTTTTTGATTTATCAACAATCATTGTCAAGTTGGCAATATACAGGGTGTTTTCTAATTAGTCTAAAAAATTGTGGTGTGATTCCTCATGTGTTCTTAAAACAATTTTTATATAACCATTGGGTCTAAAGTACTTCCTTTCTGATCTACAGGGTGTTAAAAATTAAAAAAAATCGATATTTTGCTTAACATAAATGGTACACTACTGCTTTTTTAAAGAAAATATATTTTTATCTTGACTGGCCATACTTTTTCAACAAAAAATAGAGTCTTGGAGAAAAAAATCCTTCGAGAAAAAAATAAATATACTTATTAAGAGCCCGCCTTAAATCCGTTTTCTAACGATTTTGTATTTTTTAGATTAATTAGGAAACACCCTATATATATCACAGGCAACCAAATAAACTAGTAACCTCTAAAAATTATTTTTCCTACCACTAGCGACATACCGTGTTTTTAGTGAGTACTAAATTATTTTATCAAAATTTCACCATATAAGTTTCCAGGCAATGACCTTAGACGCACATAGACGGTAGTCAACATAGAGGCTCTAATGTAATCTTTATATGTAAATTAGAAACCTATATTTTAATGCCGTTTGCGCCATCTGGCAATGCGGAAGAAACTAAACTTGTAGGTCTATAAAATTACCATTGAGTGTATAGGGCCTGTTTGGAGATGATAACATAACCCTTATTTTTTGCATTTCGATTAGATGATAACAAAGTTTAGTGATTATTGTTTGCTTATTTTGCACCTAACGACATGTCAAAAATGTTTTTTATGTGATAATTTAGCTACTTTGTTTAATCCCTATAATTTTTTATCACTGAAATCTGTTGTTATTAAAATTGTACAAAACGTTACAAAAATGTTACTTATAGTCTAATAGCCTAAGAGCTGACGACATATTTAGAGAACATATTTTAGGCAAGCTATAATAACTAAAAATGTATAGTTTATTAACTGGTGAACCCAGAATTCTAAGTCTGGCTGGGGGGTTGGGGGTATTTCGCTACTGCGCAACCCATAACATTTGCAAAAAAATAAATCCAAAAAACATTCTTTAGGCAACTTGAAATCTGTTTATTCTTAAATTTTAGCATTTATTTAACCTAGAAATAAGTGTGTCAGACTTTTTTTTCGGGTTTAAAGTGTAACCAGACCATTCCAAATATGTTTAATTATTATACCTGAAAAACATACTTTAGGCATTCTAAAATTTTTACAGCGTGTTTATTAGATGATATTAAAAAATATGTGTTAATTGCCAGACGAATTCAATGGGATTTAATACTTGCCAGACGCGAATAAAGATTTTAAATGAGTGCGATAAGAAAGTCTTATGAGTATCTATAAGCGCGAGAAAGATAGTTTATTGAGACCCGTCGGCGTCGGCAGCCGATGCGGCTGACGTAACAGCATTTTGGAGTCGTAAAAACTTAAAAAAAAATGACTAATATTGAATAAATAATAATTAAAAATATTGAATAAATGAAAAGAAACATTTTTTAATAAAAATGTATGATTGAAATCCTTTCAATAAGAAGACTTTTTAATTTAAGTATTTTGTATCTGAAAGAATACAAAGACGAATAATTATTTAAAAATTAGCATAATATAAAATATATTTTGTTCAAACGTCACAAAAGTATAATTATTATTATACTTTTGTGACATATTATATTATTATTAATTTTTGCGACCTGATTGACAATATAAAAAAGTCATTTTAACGCCTAAGCATAAAAGTAAAGCACTTTTACTTACTTTTGAATCTATTTAGAAAGATTAACAATGGTACTTTAATAAAATTCCAGAATACTTATTTTTTTAGCACTGTACATGGTACCCTTTTGTCGGGACTACGTTTTCTGGTAAAACCACTTCTTTAAATTTTAAACCATGTTGTTGGCGCACTTTTAAAAATTCTTTGCATTTTTGTAGTCTGCCTTCGTCAAAAACAATTTTGCTGGATTGCCAATCGGTTACATAAAGTAGTTTATTTGAAAGCTATTTTGTGTACATATTTTAGAAATTCATCGATATCTATTTTTATTTCGATAATCAAGAATAATTAAAATTTATATTTTAAATATTGGCATAAAATAATTGGTTCTAAAAAATGTTTTGGACAATATTGTCATAAAAGTAATATAATACGAACCTTATTTTATTAATATTAAAGTGCCACTATTAATTGATTATTTGTTTGTTTCTAGAACATGTCTGTATTGGAAAACCATCACTGGAGGTCAGCAATGGGATGTTTACTCGAAAGTGGCTTGACTGAACAGTTGGAACCGTATCGCAGTGAACTAGAGCAGCAAATAAGAGATCTCATTTTAGCGACTGATATTAATAGGCAACAGGAATTCTTATCGAAATTTAAGGTAAGATAGGTAACTTGTTAAAGACAGTAACTTAATGGAGTATCGCCTAATTGCTACAAAGATGCACAGAGATCTGTAAATTTAGTATAAGAAATACATTCATGCCTTTTCAATATTTCGGAGATGAGATTGTTTGAATGATACCTGCAAACAACTAATTAGAAAGTTGGATAACGGTTGTTGAAGGCAACTTTCGATGGTTGACTTTCAGATTTTTCAGGAGGAAAAATTCTTGCAAAAATTATGTCAAATCGCCTGCACCCACATATAGAAAAAAACCTTCCAGAATCGCAAACGGGTTTTTGCACCAACCGTGGTACCGTCGATTCCATATTTTCCATCCGCCAACTACAGGAATAAGTAAAAGAGCAGCAGTCTAAACTTTATGTTTCATGAACAGAGATGCACTTTGGGCAATTATGAAAAAAAGTTCGGAGTACCAAACAAATTTCTTACAGTGTGTAAAAGCCTCCATAACAACAACCAGTCAAGAGTGTCACATCATGGATCACTGAGCGATCCCTTCCTGACAAATACAGGAGTTAGGCAGGGATGTGTCTTAGCGCCTCTCCTATTCAACATATTCATGCCAGCGCTCTCCATTATAGTGGACAACAAACTGCAGGAGAGAGGACTGGGCATTAGATACAGACATGACGGCGGTCTGTTCAACATAAAAAGACTCAGGGCAGAAACACGTACAAAATTCATCACAGAACTTCAATACGCTGATGACTGCACTCTAGTTGCAAACACATTACAACAATTACAAGAAATGTTGAACACATAGACCTGGGCATACGAGGCTTTGGGCCTTAAGCTTAACATCGACAAAACCAAAATCATGTGCACTCCCCCGGAAGATCATAACAATGCTATAAAAATCGGAGGACTGTTGGAATATGTAGCAGTATTTAATTACATCGGCAATTACAATTGAGGGTTGGAACCTTTGGTGTTACTAGGGTTGGAACCTTTAGTGTTAGTTTATAATCATCTGCTGATGATGTTAACATGGTTAGCGAAACGCGCCTCCAGTGTAAAAGTAAAAGTGTTTTGGTTTGGTGTCCAAAATTTGATAACTGATTAGATTATTTTCAAACTCAAAATAGTTCATTTTTTCAAATGAGATACCCTGTATATTTTTCAATAGTTGGATGCAGAATTCAATTCTGCATCCATTTGCTATAACTTTTTCTATACCCATTTTCAACGGTTTTCTTGTTAATCCGTATATTTTACTTTAATTCATTTTTTAGAGATCGACAATATTGCTTGTGTTTTTAAAAGAAAATAATTATGTGAAAGTAAAGTAATTGAATGTAATTAAACGTACGAACGAAAACAGGAACAAAACAGTGAAAACGTATAAAATATAACATCATAACATAACAAAACAAACGTATTTTCAACAGTAACGGTGAGGCATTAATTATTAATACTAGACGTTAGTGTATCCCTACAATATTAAAAAAAAAGTTAATTCAATAATTACAAAAATTTTCGTTCATAGCGGTCACTTCGAACAATAATTTTTGTAATTATTGTGTTTACTTTTTTTTATTATGGTAGCGATACACTAACGTCTAGTGTTAATAATTAATGCCTCACCGTTACTATTATACGTTTGTTTTGTTATGTTATGTTATATTTTATACGTTTTCACTTTCGTTTTGTTCCTGTTTTGTTCGTATGTTCTAATTACATTCAATTTCATTACTTTAACATAATTATTTTATTTTAAAAAACAAACGATATTGTCGATTCTGCCAAAAATTGTATTAAAGTAAAATACACGGATTAAAAAGAAAACCGTTGAAAATGGGTATAGGAAAAGTTATAGCAAATCGATGCAGAATTGAATTCTGCATCCAACTATCGAAAAATATATAGGGTGTCTCGTTTGAAAAAATGGACTTTTTTGAGTTTGAAAATAATCTAATCAGTTATCGAATTTTGGACACCCTGTATGAGATAAATTAGTTCTCAATATGGACTTCGAAAGTATTAGTCCTCTGCTCCAGTTTACCGCAGAAGCGTGTATCACCAATTCAAAATGTGTAAAAGACCCACTGTTAAAATTAGGGGTAAAAATGTAAAATTTTTCAAATAAATCAAGATATCTGGGAAACAGTTGAAAATAGGTATAGGGAAATCTAATGAAACTCATCATAAAATTTTCTGAGAAATCCAAAAATTAGATAATATACAGGATGTTCCATTTGAAATAAGGAAGTTAATGGCGACTTCCGGTGTAACCGGAAGTGGTATGACCTTGAAAATATCTTTAAATGAAAGGAAATTTTAAATAACCCTAAGCCTCAAAATTTCAAACTTCTAAGTTTTTCCTAACCTCAAAAACTTCTAACGACTGGCTACGGTGAGAAACCCTGTATACATATGTACATACATACAGTGGCGGCCAAAAGTATGGAAACTTTTTTAATTTGTCATTTATGATGAGAAATTAAAATATGAAATAAAACGACTTATATAATCGTGACCTACAAATAATTTCCTACAAAACCTAATTCATTTAAATAAAAAATTACAGCTATCCAAAAATACATAAAAAATTATGAATATTTTCTTGGTCAAAAGTATGGAAACTTAAGAAGAATGTTTATTAAAATTCAAGATAATATAAAAATTACTAATATTTAGTGGAATATCCTTTTGAATTAATTACTTCTCTACATCTTCGTGGCATCGAATCGATCAATCTCGTACAATCTTTACTGGAAATGGCCGCCCATTCAGTTTTTAGCACTTCCCATAATTCATTTTTATTTGAAATAGAATGGCTTCGAATTTTGCTATCCAAATGGTCCCATAAATTTTCTATGGGGTTAAGATCCGGAGACTGTGAGGGCCAATCATTAGTGGAACATTATGTTCATTTAACCAATTTTGAACAAACCGAGATTTGTGCTTGGGATCATTGTCTTGCTGGAACAACCATCTGAGTGCATTTCTTCATCAGCATGAGGCAACATATTATTCTCCAATATGTCTTTGTACAAAAAACGGTCCATTATCCCATCAATTTTAACAAGAGGACCAACACCTGAGCGAGAAAAACACCCCCATACCATTATACTCCCACCCCCATGTTTTACTGTGGGCATCTGGTACTTATGGCTGTACCGTGTACCTTTTGGTCTTCGGACATAACGTCTCCCGTCACTACCAAACAGTTGAAACTTGCTTTCGTCGCTAAACAGTATAGTATTCTATTTCTGATAAGATCAGGTGAGATGATCTTGAGCAAATTTAAAGCGGGCCATCCTATTTTTTTTGATATTAGTGGTTTCTTCACCGCAACTCTTCCAAAAAGTCCCATGTCATCCAACCTTCTTCTCACCGTGCGTGCAGACACCGATATTCCCCTTTCACCTATTTCTCGAGAAATGTCTGTGGATGTTTTTCTTGGATCTCCCATTGATATTCTCTTCATTACTTTCATTGTCCTGTTGCACAACTTTCTTGGCCTTCCTGATTTAAAAGCTGCCGAAACGTTCCCTGTTTTATTAAATTTACGAATTATTTTCGAAACGGTGCCTTTTAAAATGTTTAAATTTTTACTTATTTGAATTTGTTTATAACCGCTCTTGTATAATTCAACTATTTTATTTTTTAAATCCGTAGAGAAATATTTAGACTTGGGCATGATGTTTATATTTATATGAAGCAAATCGTACCGTTTATCAGCTTAAACTAAATAATTTTAATGTATTTATTTATGGTTTCCGTACTTTTGGTCACAAGAAATCTGTTGTTCCCCTACAAAAACTGCTAAACAGATTTTTTTCGTTGTGTAATTTTTGGAATACTTTTATTTGCTGATAAGCTGTTCATTTATATTCCTGAGAGTTTAAGCATAGCAATATTTTCTGTGATATTTTAAAAAGTAAAAAGTTTCCATACTTTTGGCTACCACTGTATAAGCCTCTTAAGTGTAATGATCTAATTATTTCGTTTAATGGTGATTACATGTAAGTGTGTTGCGCGCTACATTTTATCTTGGAGGTTTAGCTCTAAAACGAGACCAAGACAAGTGTATTATGTTCATCTCTCAGCAACATTGTAGGTGTAGTAAAACTTTTAGCCTTACACTAAAATTGTGAAATATTAACCAGGTGTTATTTATTTTCTTGTTTACAGATACCTAAATTTTAATGGATATAAACCAGCGGCCCTACGTTATTTTTTAAAAGGCTGAAAGCTGCGCGTACTAATATATCTATAGAATATCATTAAAAAATATAAATTGACATTTGTTTATGCCGGAATTCATTTTTATTTATTTATAAACTGTTGTACTATTTAATTATTATCGTCCTTGTTATCAAACCTAAAAGCTGTCGTTGTAGCATACAAAGTACTAATTAACCTTAATAAAAATATTCAAAACAATCCTAAATATATGGGCTTATTTCCTATTTTGTCTATATATACGCAGATATTAACTTGATAACTGAATATTGTTATTATTATAAATTAACTTTCTCATTTTTAAATCTAAAGACGTGCTGATCGTTCAAATATTATCTAAACTGTAAAAATCTACAAAATAAAATATATAGTTTTTTTTTGTAAACACTTCTGCGTTAATCCAAAAGGAAACGACTTGTCAGAAGTTAGCCCACAGCCACACAGAAAGCGTTTTTAGCGTTTTTCGTTTTTTGCGTCTCAAGCGCTTTTTGCTATTTTACCGTTTTAAGCGCTTTTGTCGATTTTTGTCCATTAAAAACTCTGCAATTTCTATCAAGATGTCATTTAGTAACGTCGCGCGTCGCAAGCTCGTGGATTCCCGGCCCGTCCAACAATCAATCCTGTGAGAAAGAGATAGGCGAGATCGGCGCCGTTAGCGTTGAAGAGACGAAGATAAAAGATGTTGGGATTGAATTGTGGACGCGCCGGGGAATATATTCGGAGACAAACACAATCTACTGCTAGTGCCAGTGGTGTGTGTAAAAATAATAATTATTATTTGCCATTTATTTTACGAATTTTAGTTTTTATGTGTATAGTTTTTTATGTTGTAGTGTTGTGGTTAGTACTTGTTATAATTATAGTATAATATAATAAATAATTATAATTATATAATAGAATAGTATATAAATATTTCTAGTTGCTAATGCAATTTTAGGACATGATTTATGAAACTGAAACATTTTGGAGTGAAACTTCTTTACGCGCGCTGGTAGTAAACATTCAAGGCCGTGACCTACGAGCTAGCGAGACGGCCCTGACACACGAGCTAGTTGTAACGAAACGTGTTAACGGCTTAGAAATACGTAGTGACGCGACGTGTATCTATTTGTGAGCAGTCCACGTGTTTCTCAAAAATATTGATATTTTAATACAAATTTTGTAAAAGTGAATCAAATTATTACATGTAAAAACCATTTGTAACACGTAAAAAACTATTTTTATTATTTTACGCGAATAAATATAAATAAAAATAATACGTAAAAAAATATTTTTTACGCGTATAAAACTATTTGTAACTGGTAGAAAACTATTTTTTATGCGTATAAAACTATTTGTTACGTGTAAAAATCTATTAGTTACACGTAAAATACTATTTTTTTACGTGTCAAAAACTTATTGTTTCTGCTAAAAAAACTTTTTTACGCGTATAAAACTATTTTTTACGTGTAAAAAACTATTTGTTACACGTAAAAAACTATTTTTTTACGCGCCAAAAACTTATTGTTTCTGGTAAAAAAAATTTACGCAAAAAAAATATTTTTTACGTGTAAAAAACTATTTGTTACACGTAAAAAACTATTTTTTTACGCGTCAAAAACTTATTCTTTCTGGTAAAAAAATATTTTACGCAAAAAAAAAATTTTACGTGTAAAAAACTATTTGTTACACGTAAAAAACAATTTTTATACGCGTCAAAAACTTATTGTTTCTGGTAAAAAACTTTTTAGGCAAAAAAAAAATTTTTACGTGTAAAAAACTATTTGTTACAGGTAAAAAACTATTTTTTTACGCGCCAAAAACTTATTGTTTCTGGTAAAAAACTTATTACGCAAAAAAAAATATTTTTACGTGTAAACTATTTGTTACACGTAAAAACTATTTTTTACGCGTCAAAAACTTATTCTTTCTGGTAAAAAATATTTTACGCAAAAAAATTTTACGTGTAAAAACTAGATGTTCTCTATAAAAAATATTTTCGATAATATCTTAAAATGAAAAAAAATGCATACTTATTTAATTTAATTTTTATTGCATTATTAAATATTACGTCCGAAAAACTATTTGTTACACGTAAAAACAATTTTTATACGCGTCAAAACTTTATTGTTTCTGGTAAAAAACTTTTTAGGCAAAAAAAAATTTTACGTGTAAAAACTATTTGTTACACGTAAAAACACTTTTTATACGCGTCAAAAACTTATTGTTTCTGGTAAAAACTTTTTAGGCAAAAAAATTTTTACGTGTAAAAACTATTTGTTACACGTAAAAACTATTTTTTACGCGCCAAAAACTTATTGTTTCTGGTGTAAAAACTTTTTACGCATAAAAACTATTTTTTACGCGTAAGAAAATATTCCTTTAATTTATTACTTTTTCAGCATTTCAAACTACATTTTTCAAACATTTCCTTCAAATTTTTGAATTTAATATAATCTTCCTAAACAGTAGATGTTCTCTATAAAAATATTTTTCGATAATATCCTAAAATGAAAAAAAATGCATACTATTTAATTTAATTTTTTATTGCATTATTAAATATTACGTCCGCCTATGACGGGGTCTCATAGAAAACGCTAAAATTCACTACAGAAAACAAATTGATTTGTTTTCATTTGCGTTTTTTGCGCGACACGCCGAACGCTAGAAACTTTTGGTGGGGCCACTCCTATATAATCCTGTTATGTTGTTTTAGACGCAAAAGACGCTTCACGCTAAAAACGCAAAAAACGCTTTCTGTGTGGCCGTGCACTTAGGTTTACAGACATACAAATTTGCCTAACGAACAAAAAAATGCTTAACGTTTCGGAAAGTTTATCTCTTTCCGTCGTCGGAAGCAAAAAAATACGAAGAATAAAGAAAAAAACTATTTAAAATATTTAAATTCAACTATTCGAGAACACTTTAGTTTTTTTTTAAACAGATACGTCTACAAAAACGCTTAGAAATAATAATCTAGACCCTTAAATGTTCGAATTAAAGAACATAAAGATTATTTAAGAAAGGGAGATTTTCACAAATCTAAAATTTGTCAGCATTCATGGGACACAGGACACAGAATAAATTTTAATAACGCCAAAATTATAATGAAAGAAGCGATAGCCTCTAAAAGAAAAATAAAAGCTTTTTTAATACAATCTAATAAAAATAAAAAATGTATTGCTCATGCATCTGTAGATGTTAGTAAGGTATGGCAATCGCTTCTTTGATTTTAAAGAACACAACATAAACATAACATACGTAAAAATTCATACTAATAATCATACAGAAAGTTTAGGGCTTTTTGGTTTTACCTTATTAAGTAATTGTTATCAGGTAGTTATTGTTAATTTTGAAGTTTAACTTCATATATATATAATGTCATTTAACAGAACGTCAACGGCTTTTGTAGACGTATCTGTTTAAAAAAAAACTAAAGTGTTCTCGAATAGTTGAATTTAAATATTTTAAAGTTTTTTTCTTTATTCTTTGTATTTTTTTTGCTTCTGACGACGTAAAGAGATAAACTTTGCGAAACGTTAAGCATTTTTTTGTTCGTTAGGCAAATTTTGTATATCCGTAGACCTAACTTCTGACAAGTCGTTTCCGTTTGGATTAACGCCAGAAGTGGTTACAAAAAATAACTATTTTATTTTGTAGATTTTCTTGCAGTGGCGAAATACCCATATAGAATTTTTTGGAGTAATGAATCCGGCACATAGGTATAGACATTTCCTAAATTTTAATTTTCAATAATATTAGATAGTAGCAAATGTCTAGAGCTGCTTTCTTTTGTTTCAGAAACATATAGATGACGGCACTCTTGACTTGAGACTGGCGGAAAACAGACAGTTTATTCTCCAGATCGCTTTAAAATGTGCAGATATTTCCAATCCGACAAGGCCGTGGGACATTTCGCGAAAGTGGTCGTTGAAAGTGTGCGACGAGTTCTTCAGGCAAGGAGAGTTCGAACGACAACTAAATCTGCCCGTAACATCCATTTGCGACCAGCAGTCAACGTCGGTTGCCAAAATACAAGTTGGTAAGGGAGTTTAACAAGTTAATTATACGCGTATTTTTATTTCATATCAATTACTTTTAAATAACCCAATGATCCCATTTTCTTAATTTTTTTTGGTTTGGTTTGGCTTGGTTACAAAATGGTGTTTAATTATTGAAATTAGTGATGAGCGAGACTGGTCTTGGTCTTGCGGTCTTGGTCTTGATCTTGCATTTTTTCAAGACCAAGGCCGACAGTGCAAGACTTACGTAAAACCAAGACCAGGCCTGCAAGACTCTTGCGGTCTGAAAAAATTCCCTTAAAAACTTTTTAAGTAAGGAGAGCCAAATAATCTATACCGGGTGCGTCTCAAAAGTGGTTCACCCCTATAACTTTTTTTATTTTTTCCGATAAAAAAAAACGAGATTTTGTATGTTAGTATATGACATAAATTAGAATTGACTAACGTATTTAATTCCTTTCGGCCACTTCCTGTTTCACCGGAAATGACTACAACTTTTGATTTTTAAATGGCATCCTTGATATATTTTTACTTTATTCGATAGAAAATGACACTCTGAATAGAATGACATATCATATGTCAACTTTTGACTTTTTCGCTTAAAATAAAATTGTGTGTTAAATTTCAATCTATAATGCCATGGCTGTGTTAAAAACACTAAGTTTTAATCAAGGAGTCTTGGATTAAAATAGTCGTCTAATGTTTTTTGTATCTTATCCTAGCCGGTTAAAAGATGCCCAAATCGTATTTTTAATAATATATCATTTTTTTCAAATAGAACGAGGGTGACTCGTTAGCATATTCGGAAAAGGCATTTTTTACGAATAATTTGGTACCACACACTTGGGATTTTGAGTCAAATTGTCGTTATGAATTGCATGTCGCAATTTCAAATAAACCATATTCGAAAATGTCAAAAATTGATATATGATATGTCAATCTATTCAGAATGTCATTTTCTATCGAATAAAGTAACAAAATACGGACGGTGTCATTAAAAAATCAAATGTTGTAGTCATTTCCGGTGAAACAGGAAGTAACCAAAAACAATTGAATACGTCAATCAATTCTAATTTATGTCATATACTTGTTATTTTATTTTTAATCAAGCTATTTAAGTTAATATATATTCAGACATAAGTCACGCCAAAAAGCCACACCAACTCCGAAAAAATTAAATAATTAGATTGTAGATTTTCAATTGAGATGTACTCATACTGGGTTGGAGAACGTTTACTTAGAAACAAGTTGCTTATCCAGAAAATATTTTGCCAACATATTGTTAGACGGTCTGTACTTAGCTTTAGTTATTTTATCTTAGATTTGGACATTTGGTATAATTCTGATTAAAACCTCACACTCAGTTAAATCAACAATTTACAATTATAGCAGATAACTTTTTTGGCATTGCAGGATTTTTTCGTTTTGTGGTAACTCCGCTCTTCTCCGAATGGCACCGTTTTATGAGAAGCGCCCTCTCAACCTACATGATGAGACTGCTCGATTCAAATCGTACGCGCTGGGAAGAACAGGAAAAAGCTGAACAAGCTGAGGAGACTCAAACGGAGTTGTCCGATGCCGAACCGGAAATAAGCGAAGATGAGGAACCGACGAAAAGATCGTCTGATGCCAGCACTAGCATTCACGATTTCATACCGCCACCTTCACAAAAGTAAGTAAATGTTTCAATATATAATTATATATTTTATTATTTTTCTTACTACAAGATCTTGATCGGAGATTTTTTGCACATCATTGTTTCACAATAAGATCTATCAATTAAAAATAACGAAAGTTGACAGCAAACTTTCTTATTTTAAATGGGGACTCCCATTTTTATTACTTACTTAAATTATCTGTAAAATTTGATGAACGTTTTTGAGAAAAAAAATATTTAAAAATTTTTGGAGAAAAAAAAACTGCCTGTTAAAAAGTTTTTACAGCGTCAAACGTCACAAATAATACGTCAGGAAACTTTAATAAACACAGACAGCATTGAAACGAGCGTGCTGTAGTGTCTCATCACACTGGCGCGACCGACAGCGGTCTGTGCTTATCTTCCCAAAAATAAATCAATTTTGTTTATGTAATCATATTTCTAACACGGCCAATTCTGACACGGACTTCGCTCTCGAAGTCATCCTATTCGGAATCGGCTATTGAATATCAGAAAGGAATTCTTCATTGCTATCCACCAAAGGTGAAATTCTGAGTAGTCAGTTGTTCTTATAGGAATTGGTATCTTAATTAGAGAGGTTTCTTTATAACGAACCCAGCTACTAATCTATTAGCTTATCAATTTATTCATAACCTTCCTGACTTTCAATACTCATTCATTACAAACAGAAATATTTTTTTTCAATCTTATATGTTACATGCTTATATGTTACATGTTTTTTCAATGCTTTCAATATTTACATATTACTAACAGTGCAAAGCATCCATGCCTTCAACATTTAAACATTACAACAGTGCAAAGCGTCCATTCTTTCAACACTCAAATATTACAACAGTGCAAAGCGTCCATACTTTCAACACTCAAATACTACAACAGTGCAAAGCGTTCATGCTTTCAACACTCTCCAACTGTGCAAAGCGTTCATGCTTTCAGCACTCAAATACTACAACAGTGCAAAGCGCCCATGCTTTCAACACTCAAATACTACAACAGTGCAAAGCGTCCATGCTTTCAACACTCTACAACAGTGCAAAGCATCCGTGCTTTCAACACTCTCCAACTGTGCAAAGCGTCCATGCTTTCAGCACTCAAATAATACAACAGTGCAAAGCGCCCATGCTTTCAACACTCAAATACTACAACAGTGCAAAGCGTCCATGCTTTCAACACTCTACAACAGTGCAAAGCGTCCGTGCTTTCAACACTCTCCAACTGTGCAAAGCGTCCATGCTTTCAGCACTCAAATACTACAACAGTGCAAAGCGCCCATGCTTTCAACACTCAAATACTACAACAGTGCAAAGCGTCCATGCTTTCAACACTCTACAACTGTGCAAAGCGTCCATGCTTTCAGCACTCAAATACTACAACAGTGCAAAGCGCCCATGCTTTCAGCACTCAAATACTACAACAGTGCAAAGCGTCCATGCTTTCAACACTCTACAACAGTGCAAAGCGTCCGTGCTTTCAACACTCTACAACAGTGCAAAGCGTCCATGCTTTCAACACTCTACAACAGTGCAAAGAGTCCATGCTTTCAACACCTAAATATTACTAAAACATTACTAAATTATTACATTACTAACAGCACTCACACATTACTCACAGTGTGTCCATGCTTTCAACACATTCATTTCTAATACGTGCCATCCGTATTCTGATATCTACATTAATTAATTATAATTAATATTTTTATCATCATTTTTTTTTAATATTTCTGCAATACATACCAAAACTTAAGTAGACAATGACTAATAAACAAAACTAGTTCAACACATATACAAAAAATAACTGCCATCTCAGTAATGCATCTCATCTATTAATAATTTGCGTTTTAATATTAGTTGAAATCCCCTGCATAAAACCACAAATAAAATAAACTCTCAATTTTTTGCATTTCGAATAAAAAAAATTGAAAAAAAATAGAAACAAACATAACAAATGCAAGTGTTTTCTTCAGGATCATTCATTTATTCGTATATGTAACGAATAATATTACTATTTACAAGTAATAATTAATAAGTTCAGTTAGAATGTTTAATTTTCCTAATACTTTAATAAAATAAAAATATAACGCTTGCTGAGAATGACCCAATAACAAAATATGGCATGTATGACATGACTAATTTAGCCAAAACAACAAAACAAAACTATTTTAATCTGCCAGAAATAAGTAAAAAACAACAGCAGCCTTGCAAAAACAAAAGCGACAATATTTACTTCGCCTAAATAAATACCGATCAATATTCTTTTCTTGACAAAAACTTTTCTGTATTGTTATTTGTTATGCAATTAGAAAAACTTATTCAGAATTAAAATTTAAACGGTGTGGCTAATATTTTAAACCAACCATTCTGTTACCAATGTATTTACCAGTAATAAACACATCATTAAAACTTATTCAGAAAATTTCAGACTATAAAAACTTAATTAAACTTAAACCGCTATGAAATAATGCAGAAAATACTTGTTTTAATAATAATCATTGTAATATTTCCCTCCGTAACTTTATAAAGGCTATCTGTTTGCGCTCTGAAACTGCTAAATGTTCCAACTGCTTAATATAAACACTGCATTTCTCAATCTAAATGCGGCAATGATGCTTCTGAGTTTTGCGACATGACGCCGTGACTCATTTTCTTTAAAAATTTACTTTATTATACTCAACTGATTAACTGAACTATTAACTTTTCGTACTTTTCCAAAGCCACAAACATCAACCAATACTTTCGATTTGTAAACCTAATTAGAAACCGTGTACTTATCTTATTCAAATGCATCCTCCAAGTTTCACCCTGCCACTCAAAAGCTTATTGTGGTGTAAGTTCTATCCCACTTCTGATTTTAGCAATTTAATAATAAAAACACATAACCTTTCCGATATACTTCAATTCAACACATTTAAACAACTATAAATCACAAATAATACGTCAGGAAACTTTAATAAACACAAACAGCATTGAAACGAGCGTGCTGAAGTGTCTCATCACACTGGCGCGACCGACAGCGGTCCGTGCTTATCTTCCCAAAAATAAATCAATTTTGTTTATATAATCATATTTCTAACAATATTTTATTTTTTAAATCATTTTTTTCAAATGGAAATCTACTTTTTTTATTTCATTAGAGAAAAGGATCTTCAATTCGTTACTTTTTGATTATGCATTCCTGTACCTAAAATAAATCGTTTTTAAGTTATTTAAGATTAAGTTCTAAAGCGTAATTTTTCCTGGATTTTATCTAGCTTCCTTTGACATTAAGTGTCAGACCATCAGACAGTTTATTTCCTTCTGTCAAAAAATTAATTATTTGAATTTCCTATATTATAAATAATACTGCTGCTAAAACTTTATAAAGTGTATTTATAAAAATATATCTCGTGATATCTAATGGCATATTTTAGTGATATCTAATGGCATTAGGATATGGCCAGTTTTACATCGCTGGACGTTTAGGCGCGGTCTTTTCAGTTATAAATAAATAACTTTTATCTAACAAATAACCATCTAAAAGATAAACAATCTAGAGCCTGATATCTATAGGATATAACATTTGGGTATTTTCATACAAAATAATCCAATAGATAACAATTTGGAGGACGGCCGCCTACGGACCGGTAGACACTCCGTAGAGAAAGTGTTGCCAATATAAGATATCTGAAATTGAGATGGTTATATATGAAAAGTCGATACAACAGACAGAGACAGAAACTCGGAATTTCAAATATTTAGATTAAAAAGTGAGGTTATTGTTCAGTTGTCAAAAGATCGTCAAAATGAAAATAAAAACAATAAAATTCAACTAAAATATATTTTGTGTTCAACTCCAACTAATCCTATTATGGTATAGGCTATTTAAATTTACCTTTATGGAAAAAGGGAAAGATAATTCAATTTCAGCAGTGGTGGTGGTGCAATAGATCTATTGATGGAATGCGATTTATAAGAAATTAAAACAAGAAAAAATAATCTGTAAGTAATTTATAGTTTAATTACATGATATTACTGTTATATTTATTATATTAACATTTTAGTACAATTGATAATAGAAAATATGGAAGAAGCAGGTAAAGTGCAAGCAGAGATTTATAAACCAATCCTAAAACCGCCATCTGGTAAGTTATTAATATTGAAAATTAAAAATAGCATAAGACTGTTAGTAATAACAAATATGTTGTTCTAGGGCTTCTCATAGTAAAGAAATAGGTAGGATAGCATCAATGATAGTAATTAAGTTGAGTTTTTATTTTATAAAATAGATAAATGCACTTATACTTTTGTCTTAATAATAATAAATGAATAGTACCTATAATAATTGCTACATTTACACATTATATGTACAAATTATTTAATAAAAAAAATTAAATAAAAACAATTTTGTCATATTACTTTTATTTTTAAGAACTCAAAGTGATGGAACTTCAGAAAAAAAAGAAAAAATAAAGGAAAAATCTTGTCTAAACAAAGTTGAATTAACTGGAATTCAAAGGACCACAATACAGATGTTTTAGCAAGGTTTAGCTAGAGAGTTACTTAAAAAACAGCATGGAGAAGAGATGTACCGTATGATCGAAAAAAATTCGGCGTCAGCAATGGCTATGAAATAAAGATTGCTGTCATTTCATATGTAAATTTATATGGGAAATATCATCGAACATCATTTCCCAGCCAACTGGATGCCGTTTTTTTTTCGATCATTCGGTATAAGGTACATAGTGCAAGAAATTAAACTAAAATTGTAACACAAAAGAAATAAAAGCAAATGTGAGTTGAATAACAGGTTTTATAAGGTTCCTGTTATAATATTAATGAATTAAGATATGCGAATTAAAAATGAAATAAATAGTTTGATTTAAAAAGTTTTAATTATTTTTTACCTACTTTGGAGCTTTATTAAAACCTAGTTAAAGCCTGGCGCATCCGCCACGAGATCAGGAAAAAGAAATACTTTTTATTTTTTTTTAATTAAATGAAAAACAAAAAATCCGGCGATGACAGTTTTTAGAAGAGCCATTTAGCTATCTTTCAGTAAAAAAAGCAACTTTCTAGAACAAGTCGTTACTTCAGTAGAGACGACAGAGATAAACATTAGCATTTTATATAATATGTAGTAATGGTTTATAATTGAAAGGATTTAAATAAAATAATTTATAAATTACTGTTTTATCACTATTATCCTAACTTAATGCATTCTCTTCGTTCTGATGCTCTAACAGAACAGAGACTCTCTTTATTTTGTAACAGTCCTTATAAAGTCCGGCACTAGCAACAATAGCTTTTTGCACCATTTCAATGTGTTTATTGGTGTTTATACCCCATACGTTCTAAAATGATTATAGCCTACATACTCAGAATAGGTAAGTCTTTTCCAAATAATCTAAAATCGAATTTATTGGAATAAACGAAATCTTCAATAATAACAATGTCTTGGTTATGTTAAGCAATTTTGTCAAATATCAAATAAAATCAATATCTCCTCATGCCTTTGCTCATGCGTCAAATTTTTATCCGACAAATAAAGCACTATTTGGCAGTTCGGGCGCCAGATAGGATATCTGGGAGATAAGTTTAATTTATCTAATAGATACTGTTATCTATAGGTGAAGATACGCGTTTTTCTGCTATCCGTCAAATAAAATATATCTGGCAGATTATAACACGCTATCCGTACCTGAAAACACCGGGGGTAAGTGTCAGACCATCAGACAGTTTATTTCCTTCTGTCAAAAAATTAATTATTTGAATTTTCTATATTATAAATAATACTGCTGCTAAAACTTTATAAAGTGTATTTATAAAAATATATCTCGTATTTTAGTGATATCTAATGGCATTAGGATATGGCCAGTTTTACATCGCTGGACGTTTAAAGTCATAGGCTACTGGTTATAAACCAGAAAAATATACGTTTTAAAATTAAATCTTAAATAACTTAAAAACGATTTATTTTAGGTATAGGAATATGTATAAACAAAAAGTAACAAATAAAAAAGGCGATTTTCATTTGAAAAAAAAAAACGATTTATGATAATTTTTTAATCGCTCAATTCATTGACAGCTCGGCTTTTTGCATCACAGTGGCTGTGGTAATCACTAAATTTGACGTTTAGGCTATATAGATTTTTTTGACAGGCAGTTTTTTCCTCCAAAAATTTTAAATATTTCCTCAAAAACGGTTAATACTAGGTATAGAGTCGGGTCGCAGGTCGTGGCAACGTCCATCTCTCACTTACTTCATATTTTCTGTCGAGACGGCACATGATGGTACGTTATAGTGAGAATCTCGCGTACTCGGTATATTTTAAAAATTAAAATTAGAAATGAAAATGAGATTAAAAATTCTTTTTTGTGATACTCAATTTCAATTTTACAGAATAGAATATTTTAATTTTTAAACAGTTTCGCAATAGTATGGCCTGTGTAAAACCAATATAATTTTTGTTCTAGGGAAACCAGAAGACAATCACTTGCAGTGCCAACGCTAGAATCGTTAGGCGTCAGACGCCATTCCGTTCCAGTTCATATGGATATACCAGTAATGACATCTGGATCTCCCCAAAGACATCAAGTAGGTTATTTTTTAATGACAAAAAATTGTGGAAACAATTCTATGACCGTTTTTTCCATAAAAGTCTAACCTACCATGGCCGCGAGTCACCGTGTATATTGCAATTTATACAGGGTGGTCGAAATTGTATTCGGGAAACTTCGGTAGCACACTCTGCAGATAAAAATAAATAAAAAGTAAAAAACATGTCTTAAAATGCTTCGTTTTGGAGATATAGGGTGTAGAAGTTTCATTGTTTCGTTTTTTTCTCTAAATAATTTCTTAGTTCTGCAATTAAAGCCCATATTTGTATGAAAATGGAGTCTCGGTGTTAGGGTGTGCCCTAGAGGTGTAGAGGGTGTGCCCCCTCCAAGTAGGAATGGTTTTGAAAGCGAAATAAAATGTCTAATGTAAAAAAACACAAATTGTCATATAAATATCGACGTTAATTCAAAAATTATTTTGAAAAAAAATTGAATAAAAATGAAAATTATAAACCCTGTATCTCCGAAACGAGGCATTTTAGGACATAAATGTATACAAACATTTTAACTTATTTTTATCTGCAGGATATGCTGCCGAAGTTTCCCGAATACAATTGGGACCACCACCCTGCAGATTAGTGTTGCACAAGAGTCTTGAAAAAGTCTTGAAAGACCAAGACTCTTGCAAGAAATTCAAGACACGACTTTCAAAATTTTTTGTCTTGAATTTCAAGACAAGGCAAGACTTTAATATGCAAGAAATTTCAAGAGTCTTGCAAGATTTCTTGAAAGTTAAAAATTATACATTTTTTTAAGTGATAATTAAGTCTTTGCGCAAGTTATGCCGGGTTTATACAACATTTACATACTCGTAATCACAATCATAGTCATAATCAGAAAAGTTAAACAATCCACTTCTTATAAACCTGTTGTCATCTACCATGAACTTAGCCTTTAATTATGTTACCCAACTTCACTAATATAAAAATTGTGATTATGAAAATGTTCTATAAACGCATATTAAAATTGCGTTGTGATTATGACGATTATACAATTCTGTATATTTTTCCTATATAGAAGGATGTGATTAATAAGTGATAACCATTTAAGTGATTATTGCTTGGTGGCCATATTGTAATTGTCATTTATTGAAATATTAATTCAGAAATCATTTCTGTCAGTTCCACAAAATATCCCGTCAATTCTTAATTGTCTTAAGTTTCCGTAGAAAATGCATTTTCTTGTAATTTAGAACTTATTTATCAATATACCCATGGACTATTGACATTTTAGATTATTTTTAAAGATGTACCAAATTTTTAAAGAGTACAGATACTAATATTGTCGATATAATTCGTTTATTTTATTAAAAAATAAAAAAAAACTGTTTAAATATTTGTTAAAGAGGACCAATTAATATGATTCCAGTATTCAAACTACATTAACTGACTGTTTGCGTTGATTAATAATAATTGCTCCAAATACTAAAAAACTGAATTTTGTATGGGCATTAGACAGTGTGATAAAAAGTAACACCTTAAAAATGATATTTCATTTTTTAATAAATGCTTATTTATAACAACAGAGACTTTAATTTGATAACTTATTATTATATTGATTTCTGACTCAAATCCACATTTATTTATAATAATTTATTAACGAACACAATTAAGTATGTAATTAATTAGTATATGGGCGGAAATAATGGTGTTATATTTAATTAATGGTATACTCTTTTATAAAGATTTAAATAGTTTTCTTTTTGCATACAAATGGGCTAGTAATATTATCGTTTTGCTAAAAACGATAATATTACTAGTCTGTACATTTTGTGCATTTGTTGCTTTAGAAACAATCTAAAATGTCAATATTCCATGGATGATAAATGAGGTCTAAATTATAAGAAAATGCATTTTCTACGAAAACTTGAAGGGATAGGTAAAAAATGGTATAATACAATTTGATAGACAATTTAATTGTGCATCTGATTCTCCTAAAATATATAGGGCATTCTATTTAAATTAAAGAAGTTATTGCCGTTTGAAGCTAACAATTATTTAAAATAAATTTTTAGACACTCTGTATAAGGTAGTATTATTTTTATTATTGCAACACAATAACTGGTCAATAAATAGACTTCGTTAAATATTTAGTATTAAAAACATTGATACCCTTGGAGAAATGAAGCTTTAAAATTTTTACTGCAATTTCACAAAATTGAAAATATTTCAAAAAGTAAGGTTTAAGTATAATAAACCTTAATCAAATTTACCTTTATTTTAATCGTAGAAACTAAAAATGTAATAATATACAGGGTGTTCCATTTAAAAAAAAAACAACTTTGATTGTAATAATTGTAAAAATCTCATCGTTTAGCTACAATACTCCGTGTCGTATGTCGTGAACAACCCTGTATATTGGTAAAATGGTATTATAAAAAAACTGTAATAAAGAATATAAAATTTTTCAAGACAAGAAATTTCAAGAGTCTTGCAAGACAAGACAAGACTTTGCCATTCAAGAAATCTGCAAGACAAAACTTGTTGCACAAGACAAGAATTCTTGTCTTGTGCAACACTACTGCAGATAAATTTTGATATTTAGCACAAATTATATTTTTTAGCATTCTCAACCTCCAAGAACAATTTATCGACGCGAAAGTCTGCCGGCCACGGCTTCTTTGCGCACCTCTCAGGGTAGGTCTCCGGTTTCGCCTCAGACCGAATCCAGAGCTTCCAGCGGACTCAGAGAAGAAGACGAATTATTACACTTTGGTTCTCAGTCGTCAGTGATTAGTAGTGGAAGTCCATATCATTCCTCAGGTAGTTATAAAATATTTATATTGCTAAAAATGGAAGGTTATTTGTTTCCGCTCTTTTTGAGCATATACAGGGATTTTACAAATACCGCCCAAGTAGCATTTTCACGACTTGCGACCACATGTTTACTAAACACAACGTTGGATTAGTTACAAAAAATAGTTAGCTTCGTACCTTGAGCATTAAAATAAATGTAAACGTTGTTTTAACGTTGTGCCGACATTAAACTAGTACTACAACAAAGTAAAAGCTTCTGCGACGTCGAATAAACGTTGTCTTGTAACCTTTTTTGCTTAAGTGATCTTTAGGTGATTCGGACAACGTAGTGACAATGTTGGGCAATAAAGAGTTTTCCGACGTCACTTTCAGGACCTATTCCAACGTTATGCAAACGTCGTCTGTTTTACTAATTCCAACGTTGTTTAGATTTCCTTATTCTCACGTTGGTAGGACGTCGAGCCACTACCTTTTTGCAACTGTATTGAACCATAACCTTAAATCTTAAATTTTCACTTCATTGTTCTGTTCAGTCAGACAGTTCAGTGCTGTTTTTGTTTTTATAAAAAAAACTTAATTAAAATGGGACATAAGAAAGGTACATATAAAACTAAATTTAAATATACATCGACATATTACCGATACTTTATCCACTCGCTCGTTTATTTAGAATATAGAGGGCGGCACAAGCTAGACTCTAGGATGACTAAATTAGGCAATCTTGCGACTAGTATACTACCTGTTAAGGCTGAACTGCGACTTTATTAGTCCAGGTATGCGACTACTCAAACTACTCCATCTTAATCTCCAAAACAACAAAGTGAAAGCCGCCATGTTGTTGAATAAGAAAATATTTCGTTTCTAAAATAGCAATTTCTGCTTTTTCAATACATTAACTTGAAATATTTGACCCTAAACAACACGCGGAAACAATTTTTTCGACTGCGAATAAATTATTCTCATTTTACTAAAAAAAATTCAAGAAATTTTTTAAAACTTTTTTAATTTTAAGGCCCATTAGTATTTTTCAAAGTAGAAACAGTACATTTATCAATAAAGTTGTTTGCGTTTAACTTTTTTGCCTTGGGTAACGAGTTACAGAGTCGGTTAAAGTGTTTCAATAATTATGATCTTCAAACATCCTTCACACTTAAATACTTTTGTGTTGTTTTCCTTTACTGCCATCTGGCATATGTCTCTAACTAAATCATAAAAATAATATTTTTACTATAATTATCCCAATTTAGGATAAAACGCGACTTAGACGCCATATTATTATAGTTTTGTATTTCTGTGAATTAGGATTTTAAACAACGTTGCAGTTTGTACTAAATTAGGCTGCTAGCCAACGTCGGTATCCAACGTCGTTTCGACCCAAAAATTATTCTCCAAACTAGTGCAGACTAGGGTTGGCACGAGGTTGTGCCGACGTCGCACCCCGACGTTTGGTCGCGTGACACAACGTTGTCCCGACGTCCAAATGCTGCTTGGGTGTATGTTTTATGTTAGGGATATTTCGAGGTTTTTTCTGTTATAACATTTTCCACTTGTTAATACGTTGGATTTAACCGAAAATTGTTACCAGTTTGTTTAATTGTTATTAACTGTTTACTCTTTATTTTTTTTTTTTATTTAGGCAATGGCAGGGATAAAAGTTGTAAATCTTTTTTCATGTCAAGTTTCTTGGGTAGAGTTGACGAAGATAAATATTAAAGCAATTTCGACCATCTTACATTACTTATATTAACTAGTATAGTGAGTACGTGTTGAGGTTATACTGTTCAGGTTGTATTGGCTTTTAGTTCTAACAGCGGGTTTTATGCCTCCTAACGAAAGCTAAATAATGAAAATTATATAAGAGTTTCTTGCCTTGAACTGCTAATATAGAAATTAATTCCACGCTGTGTTCGTCATAATGTGGATCAACCTGCTCTCACAAGGTGAGCTTGGGTATTTCTACAAAACGATGATGATGGGGTAGAGCCCCGAAACCGGTAGTGAGAGCAGGTTGATCCACATTATGACGAACACAGCAATGTAATTCTATATTAACAAACAGGCAAGAAACTTCTTATATAATTTATTATATACCTAAAACTGCAAGAAATTTATTTTCCATTATATATTTGGGCTAGCCGAAAAAAGCCTTTATTTACTATCGATAGTTGTGCCTCGGTGGTACGAAAGTACTACCATTGCACGCAGGCCGCTATCTCGCGATGCGGGACTTAATATCTTACCGCTACTTTACGACAAGTCGTATTTATATATTCTGCGCTGTGCTCGTCGTTTTGTGGAAATACCCAAGCTCACCTGATGATGGGGTAGGGCCCCGAAACCGGTAGTGATGATCCACATTATGACGAACAAGCGTGGAATTAATTTCTATATTAGCAATTCAAGGCAAGAAACTCTTATATAATTTTATTATATGCTTAAAAACTGCAAGAAATTTATTTTCTATTATATATTTTGGGCTAGCCGAAAAAAGCCTTTATTTACTATCGATAGTTGTGCCTCGGTGGTACGAAAGTACTACCATTGCACGCAGGCCGTTATCTCGCGATGCGGGACTTAATATCTTACCGCTACTTTACGACAAGTCATATTTATATATTCTGCGCTGTGCTCGTCGTTTTGTGGAAATACCCAAGCTCACCTGATGATGGGGTAGGGCTCCGAAACCGGTAGTGAGAACAGGTTGATCCACATTATGACGAACACAGCGTGGAATTAATTTCTATATTAGCAATTCAAGGCAAGAAACTCTTATATAATTTTATTATATGCTTAAAAACTGCAAGAAATTTATTTTCTATTATATATTTTGGGCTAGCCGAAAAAAGCTTTTATTTACTATCGATAGTTGTGCCTCGGTGGTACGAAAGTACTACCATTGCACGCATGCCGCTATCTCGCGATGCGGTACTTAATATCTTACCGCTACTTTACGACAAGTCGTATTTATATATTCTCCGCTGTGCTCGTCGTTTTGTGGAAATACCCAAGCTCACCTGATGATGGGGTAGGGCCCCGAAACCGGTAGTGAGAGCAGGTTGATCCACATTATGACGAACACAGCGTGGAATTAATTTCTATATTAGCAGTTCAAGGCAAGAAACTCTTATATAATTTTATTATATACCTAAAAACTGCAAGAAATTCATTTTCCATTATAAACAATGAAAATTTGTTTCGATAAGCATGGTGCATAAACACAACAAACAAAATGATTTTAACTAAAAATATAGTCTTAAATTCATGAAGTTTGATTTTCATTTATGTTCAACACAATTTCTTTTTTTAATCTGAATAGCGCTAACTTTAGAATTTACATTATTAATAATCAGTATACAGTATGGTCGAATAAAGATCTCAAATCAACATTTTCTATGTCATCAGCATAAAACTATCCTCCACATAATATTAATTTATTGATCATATCATCCGTTTGCTTCAGCAATAGGCAAATACATTAAAAAAATACAGTAAAACTAGACAGTAGACTGTTCTTATTTGATCATCTGCAACTATATTTATTTTCGCTAGACTAATTGAACAACAATCGCGATCATATTGACAATCGTGTATATTTTGTTAATGCTTTTTTTCGCTAATTTGATGAATTTTGTAAATATTCCATGCTTTAATATGTTATACATAGTTGCTGTGTTTGAAAATAAAGTAAATTACCGAGGGTGCCATGTAAAAATCAAAAGTTAACTCAAAGTAATAATTTCCGGTGAAACAGGAAGTGACCGGAAACAATAGAATACGTCCTGATTTATGTCATATACTAATATATCGTTGTTTTGTCTGAAAAAATTAAAAAGGTATATGGGTGAGCCACTTTTGAAAAATACCCGGTATATGTAGTTTTTATTTCTCTGTTTTTTTTTAAAGATAAAATAAGATCAGATCAAAATTTATTCATACTATTTGGTTTCCAATTTTGCCAACTACCGCCCATCGAGTCAACGTTAGCGAATCCATATCGGAATTTAGAACACCGGTTTTAATTGATGATGCTAAACCTTTTTTTTTCAGAAGAAAATCCGGAACGTCCTCTTAGCGCTGAAAATCTCCTACCGGAGCCGTCGATTGCTTCGATGTCGAGCAGTTCAGCAATAAGCCGTCTGACTTCGGTACTGCAAAGCGCAGCGGAGAGGGCGACGCAAGCCACGATCGGATCCGCAACCAAATGCTTGACTAGACAGCAGACATTCCCTCCTCCGCAACCGTACATGAGGGTGAGGTACATGAGTGCCACGGTCGAAATGACCACATGTCCTGAGACACCACACGAAGGTATGTTAACTGCTTAAAAGGAATGAAGAAAACCAAATCATCTAACACTTTTATATGTATGTGTTAAAAAAGGATAAGTACATAAATATGACTTGAGAATATGACAATGCTGTTGAGTTTCGTGTGCACTGTCTTTTCGGTCTACAAGTTTATTGGCTTATTGTTTTTTATCAACAATAGTTTACAGTTGAGGGTTGGAACCTTTGGTGTTACACAGCAAAATAAAAACACTAAATCGCCACAATACACTAAAACACTTTTACTTTTACACTGGACGCGCGTTTCGCTAACCATGTTAGCATCATCAGCAGATGATTATAAACTAAAATACAATCTACAAGTTGAGCGTTTATATACTCGCTCAGTGGGCACCGAGTGGGCGTGGCAAAATCTAGCCAACCGAGTCAGAGCCCATTGAGCGTAACAGTTAGATTTCCGCCACTAGAGTAGTAGGAACAAAGAACTTGAAGAAATTGGACCGTTGACTCTGTTCATACAATCTTTACATTTATTAATTCTGATGCTTTCATATGCATCTAATTGCCTGTAATTTGAGACTTGTTTAATTAATTTTAAATTATTAAGATCTATACAATGTTCTTTATCAACAATATGTTCGGCAACGCAAGATTTATCCGGTCTACCATATCTTATCTGAGCTAAATGTTCTTTAAATCTAGTTAATATTGATCTTCTAGTTTGGCCAACATATTTCTGATTACAATCTTTACAAGAAATTTCATAAATACCCGACCTTTCCAGTGGAGGTGTTTTATCTTTTGGATTACCTAATAATTGTTGTAATTTATTATTAGCACTATACACAAGTTTATAATTGACATTCTTAAAAATTCCTTTTAGACCACGGGATAACTCTCTATCAAACGGTATCGAAAAATATTTAGACGTATCTTTCTCCACTTGAAAAGTCGAATTTTCAGAAATCATTAACCTATACCTACGTTTTCCAATTAATTTATCAACTAGTGAAGGAGAATATCCATTACACTCAGCTACATTCCTAATGTAATCTCTTTCTATTTCATATCTTTCGTTGGAAAGTGGGAAACTAAGTAATCTGTAAACTAAGAAATTTAAACTAGCCATTTTATGTTCAACACTATGATGTGATTCATTAGGAATATATCTGCGTGTGGTCGTATTTTTCCTATAGATATCAAATTCCAGGCAATTATTAGTATTTCTAATAACTAATACATCTAGAAATGGTAATCTGTCGTTGTTCTCAATTTCATGCGTAAATTTAATGGAAGGAAAACGAGTATTTAACTTAGAAATAAAATTATCTATGTGTGTCAAAAACAACAAAAATATCATCCACATACCTAAACCATACTCTTGGAAAATACTCAAACTGATTCTTAGCCTCCACTGCAGGTTTGAATCATGAATAAATTAGCCTAAAATGGAGACAATGTATTACCCATTGCTGTACCTTCCCGCTGTTCAAAAAAGTTGTTATTAAATTGTATTAGTTACACTATAAAAACACACCTAAAACATACAATAAAAAACGACTATCCACCATCTTTTATTGAGATAAGACACTAAACGAAATACAAACCCCAAATCTTAGACAGAATACGCACAACGCGATAACAATACACAATATATAAACTTACAATTCCATACATACGAGGCGTTTCGGAAAAGAATAAGGATAGAAAAACAATAATATAACATACGAACATCTTTCAAAAAACAAAATACCCTTAGATCCATTTTAACGCACACTAAGCCAATGAACACTGGACAACAATCAAAAAATATAATATACAAAATACCATGTGAATGTGATATATTTTATATTGGTGAAACATCTAGACCCTTAAATGTTTGAATTAAAGAGCATAAAGATCATTTAAAAAAAGATTTGCCAGTATTCACACAAGGCACAGAATAGATTTTAATAACGCGAAAATTATAATGAAAGACGCGATAGCCTCTAAAAAAATAAAAAAGGCTTTTTATTTTTCTTTTAAAGGAAATGTAAGATTAATTTTAACATTTGAAACAAATTTTACTTTATTTTAAATATTTTACTTTGCACTCCAGGCGACAGTAGAACTTCTTCCATTAGCTCCCACGAGAACATATCAACCAACGACAATACTCATCCACCAAACTATAACATTCCTGCTATAGCAGTGCTCAGTCCTAATAATAGTCGCCCACCAGATTTACTTTTACCAGGAGAATCGAAAACTTACAGGTGAGTTAGTTATCTCTCCCCCTCTCTCCCATTGGGGAAGCTCACAATCTCTCCCAACTTTTTTTCATGTGATAAATGTACAGATATCTGTACTCTGCATTAAATTAACAGCGGCATAACTTTTGGAATACTTGATATACATACAGTGTGACCCACTCAAGACCGGGCACCCTCCATAAAATCTGTGTTTATAGTCCGATTTTGATGATTTTTTTTTCAAATATAAAGTTTCAAAAAATGTACTTTAGGGCTCAATGTCATGTTATTTCACAAAAAACAAGGCCTACTTAATAAAGTTTTTGTGGTGAAAAATTTGCAAAATCATATTAGCGATTTTTTTTCAAAAAATTTTAGTACACCCCTACATTCGGCATCCCCCAAAACAGTTCTGTACCAAATTTCGTTTAAAATTATTAATTATTAATAATTTTGCAGTTAAATTAAATAATTCCCTATTTTTGCCAATTTAACGATGAGTTTCAAAAGTAACCCTCGAAAAAAACAATCCACGACAACGAGTTTTATTACAAACAATGATAAAAATACTACAAGCAACACAATAACCGAATAATAAGTTAAACATATTCAAATAATTCTAGTTGCTTCTACCAGCCCTCCATTCAGTTCAATACATTTGTCGCATCTTTTTCTTAGATTAACAGTTACATTCCTAAGCTGCTGTGGTGTAATATTTGCAGAAGCCTCTGTAATTCTAATACGTAATTCATATACAGATTGAGGTCTAGACTTGTAAACTTGTTGCTTTAAGAAACCCCAAAGAAAGAAATCAAGGGGTGTTAGGTCCGGGGATCTCGGTGGCCACTCAATTAGCGGGCTATTTCGACCTATCCTTTATTTTCAAAATATTCATTTAACCATTCCCTGACAACTGCCGCGTTATGCACAGGTGATCCGTCCAATTGAAATTTTAAATTCAAACGGGTTTGGCATGGTAAATTATGTATTGCATCCCAAAAGTCATTAATCAGAAAATTCAAAAACGTTGGACTATTCAAATTTCTCTCAAAAAAATATGGACCAATGATTCTATCATCAAGTATGCCACACCACACATTTAATTTCTGAGAATACTGTCTTCTTGTATTGATCACCCATTCAGGGTTTTCGACTGCCCAGAATCGCGAATTTTGAGAGGATACTACTCCGTTTGTACTAAATGTTGCCTCATCACTAAATAAAATTTCTTTTAAGAAATTTCTATTATTTAAATACTCTGCTTGAGCCCATAAGCAGAATTCTAATCGTCTAACATCATCTCCGTTTTCCAAAGTGTGTAAAATCTTTGGTTTAAAGGGTTTAACTTTATTAGTTCGCAAACATCTCCTAATATTTTCCCTTGGTATATCCAAATCAACACTGGCGCCTCTAATGCTTGCACGAGGATTGTTACGAAAATATTCTAATATTTCCTCATTCCGCCTATTTATTCAATGTTCCGGCCTTCTGTTTTTTAGTAAGTATTTTGACACACAACCAGTTTCATTAAAAACTCTATTTATTCGTTGAACCGTGCTTCTACTTACTGCAGGTCTGTCGGGATGTCTGTTGTTAAATTCTCTGGCAGCTTCTCCTGCTTGAAGATAGTTATCACCCACTAAACGAATCATTTCAATTTTATCCCTAATATTTAATTGTTCCATAATGCAAATAATATTTCTTGATACAACACTTTTCTGCGTGCTATTAAATTAATATTCAATTCTACGCTGCAAGAATTGACAGCTAATAAAACCCATTGTTGTGGATTGTTTTTTTCAAGGGTTACGTTATAACTCATCGTTAAATTGGCAAAAATAGGGAATTATTTAATTTAACTGCAGAATTATTAATAATTAATATTTTTAAACGAAATTTGGTACAGAACTGTTTTGAGGGATGCCGAATGTAGGGGTGTACTCAAATTTTTTGAAAAAAAATCGCTAATATGATTTTGCAAATTTTTCACCACAAAAACTTTATTAAGTAGGCCTTGTTTTTTGTGAAATAACATGACATTGAGCCCTAAAGTACATTTTTTGAAACTTTATATTTGAAAAAAAGATCATCAAAATCGGACTATAAACACAGATTTTATGGAGGGTGCCCGGTCTTGAGTGGGTCACACTGTATATCAACTAATCGAAAAGTTATAATTTATACTTAATGTACATATACACTTGCGTGCATAGAAATCCGCCCAAGGCAAAATTTTAAAGTTAACTATATATTCTTTAGAATCTATTTGTCAGATTAAGAAAAAATACATGCTGTTTGAAAGACAATTTCATATTCTTTGAAAAGAGTTTAGAGATATTAATTTGTATTTTGGTTTCTTTGAATTAAAATGATTAAATTAATGCATGAAACAAATTATCGTTTTTTATTACTAAGAGAGGTATGTTATTATTTATTTATTTATTTATGGACAATTAACTAAACTAAATTTTCAATAATGGGTATGACCCCCTCTTGCTCTAACAACATCTCTTATACGATTTGGCATAGATTCGATCAAATTTGATATTGTTTCTTGCGGGATGTTAAGCCACTCTTCCTCTACTGCAACAATGAGCTCTGGGATAGAAGTTGGGGCTCTTCGTCTAGTACGAATTCTTCGTTTTAGCTCATCCCATAAATGTTCTATCGGGGTTAAGTCTGGACTGCATGCTGGCCATTCCATAACCCGAAATCCGACTTCTGACATGTAATCGTGTACGATTCTTGATGTGTGTGCCTTCGCATTGTCATGCATAAAAGTGAATTCGTTTCCAATGTAGTCGACGTAAGGTACCACATGAACTGCTAAAATCTCCTCAATATACCTAGCACCAGTTAAACCTCCTCTCCCGTGCCGACGGTCGCCCCAACGGATGAAAACTGGGTCGGTTCGCGCAGTCATAGAAATTGCATCCCAGATCATGCAGGAACCACCTCCATAAGCAATCCGCTCCTCAATGCAGCATTCTGCGAATCGCTCACCTGGCCTCCGGTACACTTTTCTTCTTTGGTCGCTACCATAGAGGCATATCCTGGTCTCATCTGAGAATAAAACAAGTTCCCATTGTTCTAGTGTCCAATTCAGATGTTCCAATGCAAAACGCAGGCGATGAGCTGGGGTAAGTTTTGGACCAATTGCGGGTGTTTTGGGGGTCATGTTACTTTCCTTCAATCTTCGTCTTACTGTCCACTGACTAATAGTCACTCCTCGTGTTTCACGGAGATGTTGTTGCACCTGAATAGCATTAAGACGCCGATTTCTTAACATTGTTGACACAATAAAGCGGTCATCACGATCCGTTGTATATCTCTTTCTACCAGTTCCAGGTCGACTACGAAAGGATCGAGTCTCCTCATATCGTTCACACACTCTTCGAACCGCTCCGCGTGTCATATGTAGTTGCCGAGCTACAGCTCTCTGTTTAAGTCCATTTTCGATTAAAGCGATTACTTGGGCGGCTTTTTCCGGTGATGTATGCATTAAATTGAAACACTAATCAAACAATGAAACACAACTAATCAAAGAATAAAAGAACAATGTGAACATTTCGATTACAAAGGTAGTAATTGCAATATTTGACAAGTTTGTTATTCTTATTGTCACCACAACACAAATACCTTTTATTTGTTTACCCGTTGGTACGCCTATAAACGATAAGTACCCTGAATAAATGTATGCTCATATTAAAGCATGTTAAATTGTCTTTGAAACAGCTCATATTTTTTACTTGCCATGATAAATAGATTCTAAAAGACACAGTTAAAACCAAAAGTTCACAGTGGGCCGATTTCTATGCACGTAAGTTTAGTTTCTAAGTTGGCTTTATTTAAAGTGCCTAAAACTACTCATTATTATCTTTTAGTATAATCTAAAAGTAAATACCTATCTATATCCCATCAAAAACATAGAATGTAAAAAATGCCAAGTCTCGCAATACAATTCTTCCACTATAAAAAGTTGTAAGATCTCATGTAAAACCAAGTCAGTTTATTTTATTTAGTTTCTAGTAGTTTTTGCAAGCAAACCTTGTATTTTTCAAAAGTGGCTCATCCCTATAACTTTTTATTTTTTCAGATAAAAAAACGACATTTGATATGACATATGATAAGACGCATGATTTGACATAAATGAGGATTGATTGATGCATTCAATTAGTTTCGTTATCACTTCCTGTTTCACCGGAAATGACAACAATAATTTTTAAATGGTACTCTCGATGTTTTTTTTTCACTTTATTGGATAGAAAATTACATTCTGAATAGAATGACATGTCAATTTTTGACATGTTTAATTAAGAAAAAAAATGCATTTTAAATTTCAGTCTAGAGTGCCAAGGCCATAAATGTAACGACAATTTGACTCGAAATCAAGTTTGTGGTCAAGGATACTATAGAGATAAGGATAGTTCGATTCCTATCTTCCTGCACTGTCAGTTTTTTTACGCCATCTGGGGACCGAGTTGAAGTTGGCGCTAAAGGTTTTAGACAGTGACAGTTATTTTTGCATTTGACGGACTAGCGCACAGTGCGTTGGAAGATAAATTTAGCGGGACAAAAGCGTTGCATTAGAAATAAGCCAACAAATGTGTACTGTAAGAATAAATAGTAGACATTCCAATTGTAATAAAAATGCATGAATATTCTTTGTATTTCGATACATTTTTATCAGCCAAATTTGGTCGTTTTCTGCTCAGCAAGGCAGAGATCAAACGAAAGCAAAATATTTACAAGTGCTTATACATTTTATTCCAAAGCCAAATTATGTCGAAGATTGCCAAAGGTATGTACTTTTCTACTGTACGTATGTATATTATTTGTTAAAATCCTTCATGCCTTTGTTCTGCAGATATCAAACTTTCACTTTTTTTCAAATATCGATATATTGAATGATGTAGATCTTTTGAGTTACCAATAGTTACCAACACAGGTAGCCACAGTCACAGGGAGTTCAAGCTTAACAGGTGAATGCCCAAAAAGTTTCATTTCAATCGGATAGTATAAAAACAAAACAACTCCATCAAAAGGCACTGAGTTTAAAAAATTGTCTTAGATACTTACTATATATGAATTTACAATTACCGAGTGTTAAAATTAAAATTAAAATATCTATCTTAATTAATATTTTTAAAATAAAATATAATTTTTAAAATAAAATATAGAGGGTGTCACAAGATTACAAAGTAATTAAAAATAACTGCTAAAGAGTTTTTGTAAGTATTTCACCTGATATCATAATTTTATGTATTTGGCAATAGTTTACAATACGGTTTTTGTGTGTCATGTACGAATAATATCATAGTTTTATTATCTTGTATTTAATTATTAATAAATTAAGTTGTTAATAAATAAATAAATTTAACCATATAGTTGCTATATATTAGACCATTTGCTACGTTCTTAGATTTTAAGTCCCAAACATTGCTCTTGAGATTTTGTCCCGCTAGAATAACCATCCGCCGCACTGTGGAGCGCTGGTCAGCGCGTGACGTAGCATTCCACGGCGACTACGACAGCGGCGATTTGAGGCGATCGAACAGTACTTTAGAATATATACAGTCCTTGGTTTGTGGTAACAAATTATTCGTAAAAAATACTTTTTCCAAATATGCTAATGAGCCACCGTCGGCGTCGTTCCATTTGAAAAAATTGAGATATGATTAAAAATACGATTTGGTTATTTTTTGAAATGTCATTCTATTCAGAATATCATTTTCTATCATATACAGTAAAAAATACCGTTTAAACATCAAAAGTTGTAGTCATTTCCGGTGAAACAGGAAGTATATAAAGTAATTGAATGCGTCAATCAATGCCGATTTATGTCATATGTGTATACCAGCAAATACAAGTTTTTTTTATTTGATAAAATAAAAACGTTATAGGGGTGAGCGACATTTTGAAAGACACCCGGTATTATCTCTCTAAAACTGTGTTTTGATATACATTTTAGTAATAACAATAAACGCGAGACGGATACAGCAAGTGGAGAAAACGATAAGGACAAAAGAGTGAAATTATCAGAAAGCAGCGGCCCGTTTTGCGAGAAAGAAAATGTCGATCCCAGAAGATTACAAGCCACGGTAAGATTACTGAATATTAACTGTAATTTAATATAGGTAACTCAAATAACAAAAAAAAAGTATTTACAGGTTACACTAAAACCAGAGATTATAGATTATAATCTTTGTTTTTTCTTTATTGTTTTTCGTGGTTCCAATTTTCGGAATCGGGTACTAGTTAGGTGACTAGTTTGCGCACATAGCACGCCCACTTATGGCCTCTAAAATTGTGCACAGCGCCTGACCGGCACAGTTATTAGAGAGATATCGGAAAACCGAATAGCGTCATCAAGTATTTACGCGTACCTTATCAACTATGGTTACGATATGCGCGAGTCAACGCAACACCCGCTAATAACGTTACCGCCTGACGTAATTTGCGGATCAATTACACCAAGCGCTCTTTCTAAATAACCTCCGGTAACGTTTAAAAATTGCTTAAATGGGCATGTGCGGGTATTTGACAAACGGAGCCGGCCGGCGAGATCTTTTATCTTAGGTTATGTTTGAATTGTTTTGAATTATTGCTTTAGTTTTATTAGGTAATTTGATATTTAAGTAGCTGGGATTAGTTTTGATTAAATAAATATGGATTCTACCTCTTCCAATACTAAAGAACCTATAAAGAGTCTTAGGTTTACAGCAGATGACGACTTAGCCCTTCTAAGAGAATTTGTTGTTTGTTGCCCTAAACCCATTGGCAGACGTTGAACAATAAAGCACTGGAAATAAGCACTTTAGCCCTTTAGTTTTAAAATACCTAGTAAACAAAACAATTTCAAAGTTTTAAATTCAAAGTTAGGTTAAGTTTAAAAGACGCGACGCGATCAGAATTCTTTCCGATCCGATAACTATAAATGAAGAGAGTTAATACCACCTCACGTAAAGGAAATAACACCTGGCCTTATTAACGTCCATGCACGCTATTCGGTTTAGCGATATCTCTCTATGTTTATTGTTATTTTACGCGAGTTTATTTTTGCGCACAGGAAATTTGACTCGTTTGCACATCGTCATAAAAAACAATTTTCGTACCAACGAAGATTTTTATCTGTATACTTATAGGATACCTAATCTTTTCAAACGAAGAAAAGCGTGTAGGATTATTGGTTCAACTTTTCTTGACCATACAAATTGTGGGGGGGGGGTCATAATGAAAGTCATGCTGGAACCACTCGTGTAGATGCGCGAGTATCTACACGCTTTTCTTCATTTGAGAAATTCATATTTACAATTTTTGTTTATTACAATTTACATGTGTTTGTATCATATGTCAAAAATGACAGGCTTTAGAAAAAAATGGAGGACACAGTCTCATTAAGGATGTGATTATCTACAACTTTTATCTGAAAACTTTTTGTCTAAAATAGCTTATAATGGAATTAGGGACAATTTTTAAAATAGTCAAAATTTGATTTTTTCGAAATATCTAGTAAGCCATGAACTTTTTCAAAAAATCAGAAAGGCGCATATTTATGACCCCACAAAACTGCAATTCTTTCCCCATTTAACCGATTCTCTATCTCCGTTAGTTTCCGAGATACCCATAGAGAACATCGTAGGAAACTCTATACTTATTTCGTTTTACTTTGAGCCAATAACAGTGTTTAAATACATTTTTAAAATTATATAAATATGATAATTTAATTATTTAATATTAACAACTTTTATTTTAATAATTATATAACAAAAATAATAACACATTATTGTTTATTATTTATTGTTTATTGTTTATTATTATTGATTATTAAAATTCGAAAAATTTTCATATGTTAATTATATTTAACAAGGAGTAATAAATGTAAGAATAACTCCTTAATTTCTTAATTGACCGGTTTAGTATTTTAGTTACTAGTAATTATACCGTATGATCGAAAAAAAATGGCGTCCTGGGAAATGACGATCAATAACATTTCCAATATAGCCGTTTTCTTTTCGACCATACGGTACCAGTATTATACCGGGTGCATCTCAAAAGTGGCTCTCCCCTATAACTTTTTTATTTTTTTTACATAAAAATACGAGGTTTGGTATGTTAGTATATGACATAAATTAGGATTAGGAAGTGACCGAAAACAATTTAATACGTCAATCAATCCTAATTAATGTCATATACCTACTAACATACCAAATCTCATTTTTTATCTGAAAAAATCGAGGAAAAAATAAAAAAGTTACAGGGGGTGAGCAACTTTTGAGACGCGCGCGGTGTAATTAGTTACTAGTGAAAAAGGACAAAAAAAAACATAGAACAATTATTATTTTTTATAATTTTAGTCTGGAACAACAATTTTTGAGACCTCTTTCCAAAAATTCAAAATTATCTTACAGTAAATTAAGTTCTGACCCAGTGTCTCTTATACACTTTTAATAGTATAACCTATTAAAACATAAACAAGAAATAAAATATAAACATAGAAAAGCGCACAAAATTTGCAACATTTAAAATTTGTCAAAGGAAAGTCAAACAAATATGACAGAAAAGATATTTCAAGTTGGTTATAATGGAGTCTGTATTCCTTTATAATAATTACTTAATTACTTATCATATTGTATTCTACACCTTTCATATTTATATTAATAAATATGATCTATACTGATTGATATCTCTCTTTTTTGTAGATCGCTACCTATTTACAAGAGAACGTGGCAGAAAGTCCACGTGGACTTGACGAGTATGTCACCCCTAAACATACTCCTTCCAGTCATTACTTGGCTACTTGTAAATTTGTCGAATTTTTATTGACGGAACGCATCGTCTATTTTGTTACTAGAAAGATCGATTAAAACGGTAGTAGACCGAGCTTGAAGAACAGTGCATCCGTAAAATAGTTGCGTGATTTTATTAATTTTTATTGTTTTTTTTTTCTTGATTTTTTAATTTTTATAAAGATTATGTCTCATTTACGTGGAAAGATGTTGAAAAAATAAAACCGATGTGATATTTTTCAATTTTTTTTCATAAGTAATGGCATATATTATAAAGTATTTATCTTTGAATAAGAAGACTAAGGAAGGAGCATAATGCTATCCATGTATTCATGCATGGTGGACGGAAAAAGCACTCTAGGGTGGGGATCCTTGACAGTTCTGTTTGACGATTCATTTGACACATTTGAATTTGATTTGAAATTTTATGGATTTGTCAGTCTTTACAGAGCTTATTTTATGTTATTTACTATTTATTCTACTACTGATAGTTGTATAAAGGTAGTAAATCTAGATGGAAATTGTGGCAGAACTTAAATTAACAGTGATACTATCGCGATTTATCGAAAAGACTCTAAAATAGTTGGTTGTGTAGCGTGCGGTAGATCTCGGCAAAAATCGAGTGAAATAATGGAACAACTTTTCGCTAGTAAGTGACTATATATTATACATACGTGTAGTAAACCGATCATTTATGAAATTCACTTAAATTAACAAATTATATATTTTTTCTTGCATTTTTGCTTTTATTTACTACTTGTCAAAGATTAGATGTCAAAGAATTTAGATACGTCAATTTTATTTACCAGATTTACCTGCTTCAGTAGCGTATCGGATGTTTGTGTTAATAAATAATTATTATAACTTATCTATTTTTATTAGAATTATATATTTTTGTAACAATTTTAAACCAAATTAATAATTCTAAACTACCAACATTTATTCACAACTTCAAATAAAACAACATATTATTGAGTCTACCCCACGTCTACCCTACATCATAGTTTTACATTTTTTAAATAAAATTAGAACGGCACTGATAAACCGGAATTTAAGTCGGCCATATTTGAGGCCCATCGCGATGGATCTAAGATTTTTGATATGCTCCTTCCTTAGTCTTCTAATTCAAAGGTATTTATAGCACGCCCATATTTTTATTCCCCCCTTACAGATGCTCCGTAGCTACAGAACGGATAGACGTGCCTATCAAAATTCAACGCAATAATTTCGTATATTTTTGTACTAGTAGCAGTGTATATTACATAAATTTAATTTTCAGAGTCTGTCAAGACGGAGAGGGTCTGCACCCGTGTCTTTACCATTATCAAAGCCAGATGAGAACGTACCCACTGCTGGCGGTGGGTTAACCACATCTGACCTCCAAGCGCTACGTAGAGGCTCTGTACCTGTGGAAATAGTGGCTCACTTTAGTACGTAATATTTACGTTTTTTTACCCCAAAAAACCATTCTATAGAAATATTTGGGTCTGTATATTGGTAAATATAATTTCTTGGGTCGAGATTTCCGTATGTAAGAAGAGTACAATGCTTTTATAAGGTACTGAACAAAGAGAGAATAGTAAACACGTTGCCAAACGTATGAGATAAACCTAGAAACTGTGCACATTGCTAAGAGACGTGGAAGGGGATATAGCAGATTTGTCGCAGTTGACCAGTCGACCCAATCAGTACCTCTGTCAGTACTGAAAGGTCTAGGGAAAGGTGTGCATCATGCGTTCAGCTTCACGATTTAATTACGTCTCGTGATACTTTTGTCTATTTATTAACGACTCGTTGTAATTTTCTCTATAGCTTGAACATTTTTAAGTGCAAGCTAGAAACACTGGCATTTTTGGTAAAAATAAGTGTAATTGAGTTGGTGTTCGACAGTGGTCGCGCTATTAGAACTCTGAATTCAAAAATCGATATCTCGAAATCTATTAGAGATAATTGATTGTACTTTTTCAAAAACTTTTTTAATATTTCTGCTGTATTTTCTTCGTAGACAGTATGTGAAAATCTTTATCAATAAAAAAATAATTACACGATTGCTGAAAATTGCTATGCTCTAAAAGTAAGTGGATGGGTTGTTTACAATTTTTGAATTGAAAAACAACCTTATCGAATTTTTCTTATGTAAACATATTGTAAAAGATCCGATCTTCAAAATAAAAAAAGTTTCAATATCTAAAGTGGTTCTTGGGTTATGGTGTGTTATTTGTTAAAAAGGTTAGTTTTTAAATTATCGCGATTACTGACGTTTTCTCGTTATAAAAAAAATGACACCCTAACGATATCCTTATAATTCCATTTCATATGCTCAGAAACATGTCTAATGATTTTATCTAGTTATCTTTTCGAAAAAAAGTCTTTTAGAAATAAGCGGTTTGCGATCGTAATTTTACTTTACTTGCTAGGGGCAGGCGTACCGGCAACGCCGCAACAGCACACCGTCGCATTTCTCTCACTTCGACTTAATAAGATCCTTATGCGATTTACTTCCACACATGTAAATACCGACCCAAAAGTAACAGTTGCCAGCAAGGTATGGCAAGAAGTATTTTTATTTTAAATATTACATATTGATACTGTAAGAACCTTTCACTTTTTATTTATAGATTTATTAGGATGCACTAAAAAAATATTTTTTTCTTTTCCGTTACCGTGAAAATATCGTTCAGGATGATGAAAAAAAAATTCTGGCAAAGTTTGAGCTTTTAATATTAATATTAATTATTAATTCCCATTTAAATAGTACGGGAAATTTTTTTTCTTTGGAATTTTACTGCGTTCTAACACAAGATCTAATAAATCAGTGTTAGAATAATATGTTATATTTTATCACGAAATAATGGATCAAAAACATAAAATAAGATATTTTATTATTAAATATTTTTTTACGTTTTTATTTTTTTTTCTGTAGGAAGCTTTGAGGAGGATAATGGTAATGAACCCTCTGGACATATAATAAATATAACTCCAGTTGAAACTAATCGTACCTTTGGACAGTACCCAAGGCGAGGTTCCGCTCCAGTGGACCTGCCCCCTAGTGGCGTTACTAGTCGATATGAATTTACTCGTCATACTAGTCTTAATGGCAAGGTAAATTATGGTTTCTAATACTCTTTTGGATTTAATATGATTTAAATTTTAGCAAAATTGTGTAGGCCGTTTAATCCCGATTAAAAATTGTATCTTGATATTATGTTGATTTCGATCTCCTGGAAATGAATGAGATTTTTATATGAATGGAGATTTTTGTCTCATCAAGGAGATCGAAAATTAATAAATTATTTTGATCTAATTTATTCATTAAAGTTTATTAAAATTTATAATACTGATGTTCAGTTCTACCTTCAGCAAATTCAAAAATAAATAATGGCATTTGAGATAATTACAAAAGACCTATTTTTAAAAAGGTTTTTAACAACCTACTTCTTTAAAACTATACATTTTCGCACTCTTATTCAGGTATAGGTTTTTTTTTCATATTTTTTGATGAGAAACCATGAGTACTTATTTGAAACTTTGGCCAGTTAATGGCATTAAAAATGTTCAAAGGTTGCTATTAAGACTTCGATAAAGGCAAATTAACAAAATTGCCTTTATCTCATCAATGCAATGAGATCAAAACCGAAAAAGTATCAAGAGGCAACTTTTAATCGACATTAAACTATACAGGGTTGTTCACCACATACGACACGGAGTATTGTAGCTAAACGATTCGATTTTTGCAAATTGTAAGTTTTGGGTTTATTGAAGGACTATTAGAGCTACGATTTAAAAATATTTTTACAAAATACAGTGTCCCAAATAAACTAAAAATATCAAAGTTGTATTTTTTTTAAATGAAACACCCCGTATATTATTACATTTTTAGTTTCTACTAGTAAAATAAAGGTAAATTTGATTAAGGTTTACCGCATTTTAATCTTACCGTTTTTGAAATATTTAGGTTTTTGTCAAAATACAGTAATAATTTTAATGCTTCATTTCTCTAGGCGTATTTAAGTTTTTAAAACCAAATATTGTACTGAAGTATTTCTATTTACTAAATTTTGTGGTGCAATAATGAAAATTATATTACCTTATACAGAGTGTCTAAAAATTTATTTTAAATAATTACTAGCTTTAAACGGCAATAACTTGTTTAATTTAAATGGAATACCCTGTATATTTTATAAGAATCAAATGCACAATTTAATTGTCTATCAAATTGTATTAAACCATTTTTTACCTATCTCTTCAAGTTTTCGTAGAAAGTGCATTTTTTTATAATTAAGACCTCATTTATCAATATACCCATGGAATATTGACATTTTAGATTACTTTTAAAGATGTAACAAATTTTTAAAGATACAGATACTAATATTGTCGATATAGTTCGTTTATTTCTTTAAAAATAAAAAAAACTGTTTAAATATTTGTTAAAAGATTGGTCCTTTTTTAATATGATTCCAGTATTCAAACTACATTAACTGACTATTTGTGTTGATTAATAAGATAATAATTGCTCCAAATACTAAAAAACTGAATTTTGTATGTATTAGACTGTAGTAAAAAGTAACACCTTAAAAATTTGATTTCATTTTTTGACAAATGCTTATTTTTTATTATTATATTAATTTCTGATTCAAATCGACATTTATTTAGAATGATTTATTAACTAACACAATTAAGTATGTAATTAATTAATATTTGGGCGGAAATAATGGTGGTATATTTAATTAATGGTATACTCTTTTACAAAGATTTAAATAGTTTTTCTTTTTGTATACAAATGGGTTAGTAATATTATCGTTTTTAGCACCTGTACATTTTTACATTTGTTGCTTTAAAACAATCTAAAATGTCAATATTCCATGGGTATATTTATAACTTGAAGAGATGGGTAAAAATGGTATAATACAATTTGATAGACAATTACATTGTGCATCTGATTCACGTAAAATATATAGGGTGTTCCATTTAAATTAAACAAGTTATTGCCGTTTAAAGCTAGTAATTATTTAATATAAATTTTGGACACTCTGTATAAGGTAATAAAATTTTTATTATTGCAACACAATATCTGATCAATAAATAATCTTCAGTAAATATTTAGTATTAAAAACTTTGATACCCTGGGAGAAATAAAGCCTTAAAATTTTTAATGCAATTTCATAAAATTGAAAATATTTCAAAAACGGTAAGGTTTAAGTGTGATAAACCTTAATCAAATTTACCTTTATTTCAATCGTAGAATCCAAAAATAGAATAATATGCAGGGTGTTCCATTTAAAAAAATACGACTATAATATTTTTTACTTATTTGGGAAACTCTGTATCTTGTAAAAATATTTTTAAATTGTAGCTTTAATAGACCTTCAACCAACCCAAAACTTACAATTTGTAAAAATCTAATCGTTTAGCTACAATACTCCGTGTCGTATGTGGTGAACAACCCTGTATAGTTCTTATCACGAAACTTTTCCTCTATACTTTTGTACATTTGGCAAATTTGGCATTTGTACATAATGCCATTACTCAAACGAAAAAAACCTAGGCAATACCTAGGCAGTGGATATAAATTTGTTCTGATGTAATGTTATGTTACAGTCCATAATAAAGAATATTTGGATTTTCGAGACATATTAATATTTTATTATCTAATATAGTTTAAACCTTATTTAACTCTTCTCTACCGTCTCAGTAATTTTTAGCAAATTCATTTTAGCAACATTTTAAACAATAATTTAGATTTGGCTTTTAGTTCTCAGACTTGGCTTTTAGTCCGTCTCCAATTCAAGCCAAGCATAGATATGTTTTCTCCGTCAACCGCAGAGTTCGCGTCAAATTCGTCTACCTTCTTACAAAGGGGAGCTCGAAAAGTATTGCACCGAGGCCCCCTTGTCAATCTACATTACCATATTCTTAGTATACATTTAGATCAAGACTATTTAAATTTACCTAATGCTATTCATTCTTTTTTTTTTTTGCTGCCAGTCATATATATTAGTTATTAATAAAAGAATATTGAGTAAAACTATACAGGGTGAGTGTTAAGTAAGTACAAATATTTTCAGTGGTGGTATATTTCGACCCCATGAACACCTCTATGAGTTTTTTTTTGAAAAAAAAAAGATGTTAAAAATCGAGTATTTTCTTTTAAATTTTCCTGTATATTTTAGAAAACTTTTTAGAACTTCCTGTTCACCGCAAATTTTCCCAAGGTATAATTTCTTAATCTCTCATATTACGGCACTACAAGAGATGCAAATACCGAAAAATTGAGGTGGCTCAAATTTAAAAAAAATCTATTTTTTTTAAATTTCCAATCATTAATAACTCGATTGGGCACTTATTTGAAACTCGATAAAGAAAATATATTATGTTTATTTTATTGAGATCTACCAGTCCTGAAAATATTTGCACTTATATACTCACCTTGTATAATAAAAATTTTCAAACCGAACAAACAACAGATGATTATTAAAATTATAAGTGTCCCAGAGAAAGATATTTTACAATAGTTATTTTACAAATTGGTGTTTATGTTTAAAAGTAACGACGATTATACTGATGAAAAATGATTAGTTAGTTATGGATTCACTAAGGATCTTACGTCACTTTAGTTTGGTTTGAAGAAGAATTAACCGTTTAATTTTTGCTAATCCAATCTTTTTTTGAGCTCTGATCGGAACCGGCCCACCGGCCCATATTTCCACCGGCCCACCGGGAATTTTCCCGTTTTCCCATATGGCCCATCCACCCCTGTCTACCGATAACAATGTGCAATGATGTTAGGTCTATAATTACCTCCTTTGCTGCTTTTGGGCATGTTCCCATGCCTGATATCCCATATTCGCGTCCCTGTTGAATCTGTCAACACTTTATTAGCATTAAAATATGTATCACTTATAGTAACTTTTTCCTTCAAAATTTCATTCGAACTGCTAAAAGAACCTAGAAGAAAATTATAGTAAATCCAAAAAAAAATAAGATTTTAACCCCCTGTAGCTACGAAACAAAGCAGAATCTGACCTATGTTGGTATAAAAAATAAATCTTATTTTTACCTGAGGAATCTCCCACGAGAGATGGCACATGTTCTTTGACCCAGTGTATACCCTGTATAGTTAATTTCTCTACAAAATCTTATATTTCGTAAAAACCAGAAATTTATTTTAACTTTAACCTTTTATTGTTGTTTCCAGGCGTGCCGTGGCCGTAGCAAAAAACCCCTGCGCAGGCGCAGTAGCGGTGGCACGGAACCGGGGAGCGCCGTGTCCGAGATCGGTGGGGGCGGCGGAGGCGGAGGCGGCGGCGGCGGTGGCGGTTCCGATGCCCTGGCTCGTTTCTGCGCCCAACTGCACCGACGCTCCACCGCAGAGAGTCCCGACGCGCTGCTGGCTCGGCGCCGTGGCTCTTTGCCCATCGAGGTCCTTACTGTTGGCCACTCAGGTATGCTATAATTTATGATTAGTATATGCTTTCTAGAATACAATAATTATGGGTGACTTAAACTCCATAATTGGAAAAGGACGATGTGAAGACATTGTGGGTGAGCATGCTCTTGGGGAGAAAAACGACAGAGGAGATAGGCTCATTCAATTCTGCCAAGAAGATTACATTATAACTAACACTTTCTTCAAATTAGCCTCCTACAAGGTTGTATACCTGGAAGTCAAACGCCGAAACCCGAGACAGAATTGTCAGAAACCAGATCGACTTTATACTGATAAAATCACGCTTCAGAAACTGGATAAAATCAGTGAAAATATAACCAGGTGCTGATATAGGATCAGATCATAACCCTGTGGTAGGGGTAAAGCTTGATTTTCATGCATCCGTTGTCTGACGATACGTTGATACGATATTAATTTTATTGGTAGAATTTAAAGACGGTGCTCTGATTGGAACACATGATTCTGATCACAAGCGCATGTATATTCTTAAGACGGTTAGAAGACTCTGAACGGCATCTCCTTAAATTAGTAAGGCCAAGTTCTTAGGCCTAACGATTATGAACAAAGTATGGACCAATCATTTTTAATATCTTCTTTAAAAAGAAAGATAAATTTAACACCGTTTGAGGTATAGTCTGTCTAACGACAAAATCCTTGACAGTGATAGATGTCTAACTTTGGCAAAAAAAATGTACATGTACTGCCAAAATATACTTTCACTGTCAAGCGACTGCCAATGACTGCCAGGAAGACTGCCCAGTCTGCCATACAATTATAGTCGACTGTCGTAAGATTGATGCCAACGACTGCCAAGAATATATACATGTATTTCCTTTATGTCCGTCATTTTAATTCCAAAGTAGATTATTTTATTTTACTAAAAAAAAATAAAATGGAAAATCATATTGAAATATGATTTGTAATTTTTGAAATAAACCAATACAAGACTGATTAAAATCAACAAGAGACAACGGATGACGCATGTTTGTGGATACGGTACTGGTCACTTTTTTTCCGTGGTCTGTATTTTAATGCATACGATTAGAGATAGATATACATGACCAGTTGACAGACAGAGAGATAAAATAAAAAGCGGCATACAATGTTGCCGGTTCGTACGTGAAATAACATAATAAACTAAAAAAATAATTTAAGTTTGTAGTGTAACAACCCAAATTCGTCAACAAAGTTGAAGAGGTAATATTTTGACCAAATAATATTTTTTTTAAATATTTTTTTATTGTGATTATCTCGGATGCGCCTCGACAGAAGCAATATTTTGGGAAATTTGAGGAGAATAGGTTATGTAAAAAAAACGCTAAATTTGTAAATAGCCCTACCTATTTTATTAAATGAAATGAAAAGAGTGCCGTACTCTGCCTGGAATTCACATGTAAAAGAGCACGGCAGAGAAAACCATGATCACTATTCCAGAGAATCTAACTATGCTGTCCTGAACTTTAATAAAAGAGAAATAATAATATAGAAACTGTCCCCATACCTAGGTTTATAGTTTAATACACTCAAAACATGCCACATTTATATCGTTCAAAACTGAAGAGTTTTTTTTTAGTTTAACGGGTCCCCACCCGTAGGTACGAAGTCCCTTGTTGTTTTGGTGCCAATATCTTATAATTTAATAAATTGTAAGTTATTCTATGAGTTATTCTATTTATTGTTTTTGTTTGCCCTTTTGCGAGCTAAGATATTCGCCCATAGTACACTCAACAAGGCCCTTATTCTTACAAACCACAAACATCGGCACGAAGGAACAGTAAACGATTTTATTTAGATTACTTTTAAACTGAAATTATTTACAGCATAAATAGATTCCATTAAATGCATACACATGTTATATATTGTCTTTGTCAGATCAAATGAATAAGGAAAAGCTTTAGAACAGAATTACAACAAGAAATCAAAATAATATGATTTAGTTAACATTAGTTAAATAATGAGAAAACTTTTACTTTACCTTTAATAATATTCGTTGTCACAAAACTCAAAAACTAAAATAATATCAATGCGTCTCGAATGGTAGTCTCGAAGCTATTATCTAACAACTATCACCTCCGTTCGTCGCCTGATTTTCCTCTTCCTAGTTTGTGAATACTATTTTAAAAATCAATAATTTTATTTATGTATACAGAGTGTCCTAAAATTGAATGTTTTGAATTTAAAGAAATATGAAAAAAAATTTAAACAGGCGGTTCATCTCTTCATTGATTTGTTGAGATTAGTTTCAAAATAGGGCTATAGTAATCGTATTTATAGGTGTAATGCTTCGTTCTAAAACTACCCAGAATCACGGGCTACACGCCATAGAACCAATAAGATTTGCACTAAATTGAAACAGTGCTCAATTTTGACAACTAACCACTACGGTTGTTTGGTAACTAAAGTCAAAATTGAGCCCTGTTTGAATTTAGTACAAATTTTCTCGGTCCTATTTTATAGTTGTGCCAGCAATACAACGTAATTCTGAGACCGAGACTTCTAAGATTCTATTAAACTTGTAGTAACTAATTGTAAAACTATTTGTAAAAATTGTAGATCCCACCTTAGATGCAACATTTTTCGTAAAAGCTTTTTTGGGCGGTTTGAAACTTTGATACAAATTCCAGCAATACTGCATAGAAGAAATGTATCAAGCAAACATTTTTCTCTTTTTAATACATCTGATTTTTCATTAATCTGTCGTACACGTTAAAATCCAGACCACTTTCGGTGACCAAAGCTGTATAAATCCATCCATAGTTAACTAATATATTTGAAACTTTTTTTCGTGAAGTAATTAGGTTGGTATGGATGTCATCTCCCTTTTTTTGGTCATTGTCTGTGGAAATCTTCTCTGAGTTGTAAAACAGAGCATATTGTTGTTTTATCAATCGTACAAATAATAGTAAATGTTACCTTTAAATCATATTTTTAATACTCTGGTTATATATGTTTTTGTGTGTACGTTAGTTATATTTTTATATAATCTCAGTTAGCAGTACTTAAATGACAGTCCTGACAGTGATTGTATTGTATTTTACTCTAGGTACTATCGAAAAAAAAGTGAACTTAGAAATGGTCTAGAAATTACGAAATGGGTCATTTTATTATAAAATTACAAAGTGAATATCATAGATTGTCATTTCAAATCCAACTAAGTAATTTTTTCATTATACAGGGTGAGTTTCCTACGATGTTCTCTATGGGTATCTCGGAAACCACTAGAGATAGAGAGTCGGTTAAATGGGGAAAGAATTGCAGTTTTGTGGGGTCATAAATATGCGCCTTTTAGATTTTTGAAAAAGTTCATGGCTTACTATATATTTCGGAAAAAAACAAATTTCGGCTATTTTAAAAATTGCCCCTAATTCCATTATAAGCTATTTTAGACAAAAAGTTTTCAGATAAAAGTTGTAGATAATCACATCCTTAATGAGATTGTGTCCTCCGTTTTTTTCTAAAGCCTGTGATTTTTGACATTTGACACAAACATATGTTTTTTTAAATGGAAACCATAGTTGGCCATGACTTTATAAAAAGTGCCATTTTTTAAGCTTTTCAGCGATATAAGCTATAATATGTTTTCTTCGAAAAATTATCGAGTTATAGCCAATTCTTATCATTTTTAAATAATTTCACTTAGTTAGCCATGGAAACAAACGTCTTTGCTCTTATAAATGCGAAGCTGCCACATCCAAACTTTGTAAATTAAAATAAACAAAAATTGTAAATATGAATTTTTCAAATGAAGAAAAGCGTGTAAGATTATTGGTTCAACTTTTCTTGGCCATACATTTTCCAGGATACGTTGACCGGTGAACGTTATTTACGTTTTTTAGAGAACGATTTTCAAGACTTGTTAGAAAAGTTAAATTTAGTTATAGCCAATTCTTATCTTTCTTGACTAATTTCACTTAGATTGCATGGCATTCTTATTCTTTTGTGATTTATAACTTATAAAAAGTCAGAATATATTACTAAACGGTTCTTTAGAATTTACATTACACAAACTAAAACTTAATATTGCTGCAGTCACTGCATACACTTTAAGTTATTTTAGAAAATGTTCAAAAAATCCGCCATTGTTTTGAGTTACACCTTTTTAAAACTGAATTATTACCTATTCTCACAAAAGGACCGGTTGACTTAATTAAACTTCTCTCGTACCGCCACTTCGAGTGCCTCTCTTAATTCATAAGTTCTTTTGTAAAACTTATTTTTAACCATACCGCATAAAAAAATATAAAATGGATAGGTCAGGTGATCGAGGAGGCCCATGCAATTAGTCCACCTCTTCCTATCCCTGAGTTTGTATTATTATGATATCAATAATGTTTAACATTTCTTTCATTATGCGGGGGGGCATAATGAAAGTCATTTTGGAAACACTCTATTGATGCGCGAGTATCTACACGCTTGTCTTCATTTGAGAAATTCATATTTACAATTTTTGTTTATTTTAAGTTTGAATGTGACAGCTTCACATTTATGAGAGTAACGGCGATTGAACTTGTTTCCATGGCTAACTAAGTGAAATTCTTTAAAAATGATAAGAATTGGCTATAACTCAGTAATTTTTCGAAGAAAACATATTATAGCTTATATCGCTAAAAAGCTTAAAAATGCCGCTTTTTATGAAGTCATGGCCAACTATGGTTTCCATTTAAAAAACATATGTTTGTGTGATATGTCAAAAATGACAGGCTTTAGAAAAAAACAGAGGACACGATCTCATTAAGGATGTGATTATCTACAACTTTTATCTGAAAACTTTTTGTCTAAAATAGCTTATAATGGAATTGGGGACAATTTTTAAAATAGCCGAAATTTGTTTTTTTCAAAATATCTAGTAAGCCATGAACTTTTTCATAAATCTGAAAGGCGCATATTTATGACCCCACACTGCAATTCTTTCCCCATTTAACCGACTCTCTATCTCCAGTAGTTTCCAAGATACCCATAGAGAACATCGCAGGAAACTCACCCTGTATATAGTATGTTAATGTCACGCCTAATATTTATTTACACCTTAATAATCCTTGTTTCTTTAATAAACGATTAATAATTTCGTTACATTTATGCAAACTATTTTTGCTTCCTGTTTCAGTGTTTTGACGGTTACCATTACGCCACTAGGGCCGTCCAATACGCAATAAGGACCAACCTTTAGAAAAACAAACCTGACGACTGACATCAAAAGAAAAAATAACGTTTTTCACCAGTTTAGCTCACTAATCGTAAGGTTCATTAATCGTATCCGTAATTTATTAATAAGTAATGAACAAGCCAAATATTCATTAATAAATGTGTACTAAGTTGTGTCGTTTTAGAAGAGCTAAGAGAAAATTAATACAAATTATATTACAATAAAGTTCTGTAACATCCTTTCTTTAAGATTTAAGGAAAACGGTTAAATGAAAACAAAGTATTAAATAATCAAAATTTATTTTGTAGTTGGTCTCCAATGGGGCAAAATATTCTGCGATGTTTTAAGCATATTATTTTCTATATTTAGTAAAAATAGCTTAAAAATAATATAAAACACTATTTCGATAATGTTGCATTCATTATTGTAAAGAGATAATATTTTACATTATACAGGGTGGTCCGAATTGTATTAGGGAAACTTATACAGGGTGTCCCAGAAATACGTGCAAGTATTTTAAGGGATAGTAGATCTCGATAAAAGAAACATATTTTCTCTTTATCGTTTTTTAATTTTCAAAAATTTATTTTTTTATTTGCAAAAAAATGTTTTTTTGCTAAAATTTTGAGAACCACTGGATCTTTTCTGGATTTTCTTACTTGTAAATTTAATCTACTACCTCTGTTGCCATATTATCAAGAAATTATGTTCTTTAAATAAAAACAAAAAAATTCCAAAAAATTTTCAAAATTTTTTTTCGCGAAAAAAAATATGTTTATAATAATAGTCGATAGATTGTTTATTTCAGCAACCACGGAAAAATGAATTATACATTCTAAAGCTTTGAATAAGAAGACTAAGGAAGGAGCATAATGCTATCCATGTATTCATGCATGGTGGGCGGAAAAGGCACCATAAAAGCTCTCTAGGGTGGGGATTCTTGACAGTTCTGTTTGACGATTCATTTGACACATTTGAATTTGATTTGAAATTTTGTGGATTTGTCAGTCTTTATGGAGCTTATTTTATGTTATTTACAGATTTTTCTTCAAATATCCACTTAGTAGATAGTAGGCCGCGCCGAGTAACAAAGTAACCGGTTGTCATGGTGATCGGGACATACCTTTGACGGATGCGTGACATTTCATTTCAACAGATTGAAGTGTGTGTATTTTAAATAATAAAAAAATGAGTAAATTTGAAAATTTTGAGAAATATAATATGTTAGAATGTTATATTGAGTCTAACAAGCATTGACACAGCTGATTTATATTTTGAGCGGTATACAGAGCGCGAGCAACAAAACCCAGCCATTTTTAAAAGGTTAGAAGATAATTTAATCAATTTTGAATCTTTTCAAAAACCGCGTCCGAAAAATTATCAGAGAGAAGATGAAGAAAATCAATATATTAATGTCCTCGGACCCGAATACATGAATTAGCAATTAAATAAAATTGAACAGTACGAAGGAAATAAAAAATAAGTGTGACAGAAACAAAAGAACATATTTTAATATAAACTCAAGAGGTTACTTCAACCGGGCTTCTCAAATGTCTCTCAAAGACTACATTAAATGTTCAGACTGCTGCCCATTATTATCTAGACAGAGTTGGTATCGTCTCCGCACGCCACCGCTAACAGCATTTCAATAGCTCTACTTGATGTTGTTGGAGCCGTGTTACGGCTCCGAGGACATTAATATATTGATTTTATTCATCTTCTTTCTGATAATTTTTCAGGCGGGGTTTTTGAAAAGATCCAAAATTGATTAAACTATCTTCTAACCTTTTAAACATGGCTGGGTTTGGTTGCTCGCGCTCTGGATACCGCTCAAAATATAAATCAGCTGCCATTTGCTTATGTTTGTTAGACTCAATAGGTGCTTGTCAGATATAACACCCTCCGAATTTTGTACTTTTTTTTATATCACTCGAAAGCATACATCGAAATAAGTATTTCAAGCCAAAAAAAAGTGTGGATGATCCATAATTTAATGAAAAATAAACATCTAATTATTGCTACAACAGGCTACTTTCTATGCGAAAACTCCTCCAAATTTTGTCGGCGTTGCCAGATTCATTCATTTCTTCTTGAAAGGTTCATTAAAAAAAACACGTGCTGGTCGGAAGAAAACTCACGTTAACAACAGACTATGACAACAGATTATTTTAAAATCAAGAAAAGGCGATCGTCTGAGGAACTGCTCCTACCCATAGCTGATATTTTGCCTACGAGATCTGACTATTTATAACTACAAAGTTGCACGAAAGAGTTTTGATTGCGTTGGTTTCAACTTGTTTGGGGGTTAATCTGTTGTTTTTTTATATTTTAATACGAATCTGAGTGCTTTCAATATCTTGATTTTAAAATAACTTATAATCTGTTCTTATCGTGACAGCGCTACTGTATAAGGATTTGTTCGTCCGGCGACCGGCACGTAAAATCAAGTGAAAGCAATCAGATTCGTATTAAAATAAAAAACAAAACAAAAGATTAACACCCTCACGGAAAGGTTGAAACCAACGCAATCAAAACTCTTTCGGTCTCAACTCTTTTTTTGTATCATGTAACGTACCGTATGATCGAAAAAAAACGGCGTCAGCCATGGCTATGAAATGAACATCGCTGTCATTTTATATGTAAAATTATATGGGGAATGTCATCGATCGTCATTTCCAAGCCAACTGGACGCCGTTTTTTTTTCGATCATACGGTATTATGTATCATACAAACAAGAAATAACTTTGGCAACAATGCTTAGGCAGCTTACATCCTTAACAACAAATGGTGACAGACGGCTCCGGCGGCAAGTTTGAATCGAATGAGTAAATTGATCAGGCAAATATTACAAAAGATATCACGAACTCTATTTTTGATTTATGACTTATTAATGCTTCTCAATGATTAATTCTGACCTTTATATTAATAAAAAATGCATATAATCGTCATATTTTACAATAATTACACGCTTATACAACTTCACCATAACTTAAAAATGCACTTTTAATTTATTTATTTTTCAATAAATTGTGGTTCATCCGCAATTTTTTTTGCTTAAAATTCTTATTTAAGTGTATGCTTTCGATTGATATATAAATAAATGCCAAATTCGGAGGGTGTTATATCTGACAAGCACCGACTCAAAACATTCTAACATATTATATTTCTTAAAATTTTCAAATTTACTCATTTTTTATTATTTAAAATACACACACTTCAATCTGTTGAAATGAAATGTCACGCATCCATCAAAGGTATGTCCCGATCACCATGACAACCGTTTACTTTGTTACTCGGCGCGGCCTACTATCTACTAAGTAGATATTTTAAGAAAAATCTGAAATGTTGAGGTTAATAGTGAAAAGAAATATAGAGTGTTATATATTTTCGAGAAGCCCATGCCAAGCTGAATTAGAAAATTTAAAATATACAGGGGGTTCTATTTAAAAAACATAAGTATAGTTAATATCTCAAAAAATATATTTTTCGAAAAAAGTCTGACTACGCCTCTGCATTCTACACAGAAAAGTGCCTTTAGAATGTATAATTCATTTTTCCGTGGTTGCTGAAATAAACAATCTATCGTCTCTATCGAACATCTTCAAAAAGTACAAAATTTGAGAATGTGATCAAGATAGCCACGATCCGTTTGCGCCATTGTAATTTTTTCAAAAAAAGAACCCGAGACTGCAGTATCAGAATTTGAATATTTCTCACGGTTTCCTAGATACCATATAGAAACAACCAAAATGGTCCACCCTGTATATACCTAAATCAGCCCAACTACATCACAAAATAAGTACATTGAACTCAAATTTGGTCAGATTATCGTGTATCAAAAGGAGTGATACAAGTCAAAGCTGGAAATGTCGCAGTCTATTTTTGGTCCCTTTCTTCCCAGTTGCTTGTTTCTCTTATCTCTCCATACATATAACTTTTTATGTATTCAAAAAGAGTGCAATGAATGTCGGTAAATTTCTAGTATGTAATTTCTGAATAATCAACTAGTATCTAAGGTAGTTTATCGAATTTTGAATATTTATTTTGTTTTTTTTTTGTTCTTTTTTGTACCTTTGTGTGTATTGAGCAGATTTTTTTTTGTTATACGTATATCTCGCTGACGTACCTTAGTTATCATTAAGTTGTCCCATACTGTCATTCTTAAACGCTGTTATTTATTTTAATGCGTCAAATATTCACCAAGTTTTTTTCAGATGTGCATTGACGATCTTGATATTCGGGTAGATTATTTCAAAATCGAGAAATTAACAAAATCTAAGTAATTTGTTAACATTGTAGGTACAAATATCAAAATATTAAATGTGATATTCTATTATATAGTAATATATAACATAAAATCGTTACGGTTTAAAATGACAGTATAAAAATTAATTTAAAATTTTATACCGATTTATCGTAAATATGTATTTTTTAATTAATAATAAAAATAGAATCACAAATTTTATATTAAACTAAACAGTTAACACCATATAATTATAAATATAATTTTAATGAATTAGCATTTCAATTTATTGAGTTATAAATCTATGAATAACAAACAATATACCGTCTGATGCATCAGCTATATGGTAATTTTTTTTTGTGGAATTATGTTCAATGATATTAAAAGGTATGATCAAACTTTGTTAATGACAGAGAAAAAATTACATAAGATACTTTTTAACTGCCAAAATCAAAGCGATCATTAAATTTTCTTGTCATATTATCGTAAAATCATATACAGGTTGGGCCACTGAAAACTTACAATGACTATAATTTCTAAACCAAAAAAGATATCAAAAAAATAAAAAATACGGTTTCTATAATATCGAGGGGGAATACATATGACGTACTTTTTGAACCACTCCGACCTACCCCTAAGGCGGCACCACTACTCACTTGAAAATCTTAAATGGCAACAGCCCACTTGTGGCGCCTTTTTAGAAAGCCCATGAAAAATGCTAAACGATGATCATAAAGTTTTTAGGGTGAAATTGAAAAACCACCCCTTACACGCAAAATTAGGTGGACATTAATGAGAAAAGTGATTTTTTCCGCATAAGTTACAAATTGGGACCCAGCTAAATGAGGCTTTTTTCAAACTACCCCGACCCACCCCTAGGTGCCACCCCCTCACTTCTAACCTCAAGATAGCGATACTGCACTTGTGACACCTCTTTGGAAAGCGTATAAAAAATGCTGAGCAACTGTCATAAAAAACAACGAAAAAAATAGAGCCTAAAAATCAATAGAATGAATTATTTTTGTATCCATGAACCATTGCGAGAAAAAAAGCTGGTACAAAGAAATTTATTATAAGTCTTAATGAAGACCTCATACACTTTCAGCAAGATGGAGCCCCTTCGCATTATTCTATTGTCACAAGGCGGTGGTTGGATAAATATTATCCAAGGCAATGGACTGGCAGAAGTGGTCTAATCGAGTGGCCGCCAAGGTCACCTGATCTCACTCCTTTAGACTTTTCCTTGTGGGGTTAC